CCAGTAGGTTAGGGGTGTCCAGTCCTGGTTCTGGAGGGGCTTTATTGGAGGTTTTCTAGAGCTCTTTTTGAAAAGAAGAAGCTGTTAAATTGGGCCAGTAACCAGCAGGTGTAGCTCGTTAAGAGCTGAGCTGGAGTGAAAACCATCAGACAGACTGGTCCTCCAGGACCAGGACTGGACAGCCCTGCTGTAAGTAGCTGTTACTTCTGGTTTGTGATCAATTACTCATTCCTGTTTTCATCGTTTTCTTTTTCTTTTGGTTTAACAGCATTGCTGTTCCACTAGATACACAGGGAGATCAGAGAGGTTTCTAATGGGAGGTGGACTACCTGGCTCTTTGGTAGTTAGAAGTTTGGTAATTGGGCTTTTGTAGCGTATTAATCCTTTGATCATGTTCATGCAGTGTTTTGTTAGTTTGTGTAGCTTGACGTGGTTGTGTGTTTGAGGCACCTTCTTGTATTTCTTGAGACATTTGAGGAGTGAGGTGGAACCGGTCGCACTGTTCTGTGAGTTTAGAAATCTGAGTCTGCTTGTGTGAACAGTGTCTTTTTCTAGGAAAGATTCCATCTCCTCATTTATTCAGAAGCCATGCAAATCCTTATAGTCTTATATGTGAAATCACAAGAACATTTACAGTAGTTAACATTAACACATATTTGTTTAAATTGTCAGCTTTACATTCATTGTTTAAGGTGAGGACTTTATTGAACGCCTTGGCATTTTTATAAAATATTCAAACTATTATAAACTTTTTCAAATTGTGAAACTTCAGGAATCTGATTCATATTCTTATTTGAATTGCTTCACAATTTCATTTTATAATTATAATTCTTACACTTATATAGTATTCTTTTCAAGAAACACCCTGGGATCTTTAATGACCACAGAGAGTTCTGTCTTATCTAAAGGACAGCACCTCCTTACAGTATAGTTTTCCCATCACTGTACTAGAGCATTAGAACCCACACAGACCTAAGGGTGAGCACCCCCTACTGGCCCCACTTACACCACTTCCAGCAGCAACCTTAGTTTTTCCCAGGACTCTCCCTTCCAGGTACTGGCCAGACTCACACCTGCTGAGTTTCAGTGGGCTGCAGGTTTTGAGCACAGTTACTGTACATATTACACTTAAAATGCAGAACTTAACCTTTTCTGGTTGACTGTCTCTTGTGGAGATTGGCATGTCATTAGTTTTAATTGCAACAGTTGATAAAACTGGGGATTGCAAAACTGAAAATTACAAAGAAGCTGAAGTGTGCCCTCTGCTGTTTCAAACAATGTGAAAATGAGTACAGTACTGTGTCAAAAGTTTTTTTTTTAATTACAATCTTTTACCAACCAAAAATGCATTTTTTGTTTAGCTGGAATTCATATATAAGAGTGGCATGCATGAAATAATTATTTCTGCAATCACCCAGGCAATAGTAACGCACAGTGTTACACAGTTACACAGTGCGTTGCGCAGAGTAACGAATCCACCGTACCCTGGTGAAATAAGGAATACCGCACCAGGTACATAACTGGTAATAACACCAGAGGAAAATAATTTCAATAAACAGCAAGAAAAATGAAAGAAAATAGAAAGATATAAGAAAATGAGGAAAAGATGCTTCAGCGGAAGAGCAGTAAGAGCCCAACCCTTGGTAGAGTAATACAACAAAGCTATTGTTCCATTGGAACCTCCTGGAGTATGAAACACAGGACCATGTGAGGTACAGAATGAGTAGTGCAAGACATGGGTGGCGGGATATTATTGTCACATCTGGCGGGAGAAAGACAACTGGAGTTAAAACAGAAGGTTGGAAGAAGACGCTCCAGCAGCAGGCGGTAAGGTAAGCGAGAGCCGCGCGGGTGTCGGGACAGACTCAGGCCCAGTCTGGGCAGGTGAGTGTGAGCAGGTAGGTGCTGGGGGGAGAGGTGGTCCCTCCACGGGGGGGCTGCAGGTGAGGAATGGCAGCAGGAGGCAGGAGAGAGAGAGAGAGAGAGAGAGGGGGGAAAGGCGCCACCTGGTGCCAGGCAGCGGTTGTGCGGCCTGGCCAAGAAGGAGAGACGCTAGAGCAGTTGTCGGAGAGAGGCAGAGTGATGGTGGTGGTGGAGAAGATAAATGAGCAGGAACCCTTGGATTTGCTTCTCAGCACACTGGATCCCGAAGTTCTTCACCCACAGGAGAGGAGCCACCTCACCCACCACCGAAGAGCAGCTCCAACAGCAGCCCTGCGGCGCGGCAGCAAAACTGCAGAAGAAACAAAACACCGATCCCTCCCCACATACTGTAAGAGAAGGGAAAAACAGCAGGCTAGATTATGCAGTGGAAGTCAGAGAGCACACTGGGGTTAACACCCTCGCTCTTACGAAAGAGATGTATCATGACCACGAGCTGTTGGGAGTTTAATATCTTATCCTCAGGACAGCACCTCCAACGGTACTGTTTCCAGTCACATTGCTACACAACAGGTTTAGGGATTCCGGTCCTGTGGGAAGGGCGCCACCTACTGGTCAGCCTGGCTTTGCTGAGAGGCCTCCCATCCTGGTAACACCCAGGCAAGGCTCTGCTGCTTTCCGAGGCCCGACGAGACGTATGGGAACCACCCCACATACGTATGCTACAGGTGTACGAGTCTGGGTTTGTCGAAGAAAGGAAAAATCGGGATTTAAAGGGGAACTGCAAGGCTATTTTTATATTTCGGGGTTAAAAAGTATCAGCATCGATTTGTGCATTTCAAACCACCATGAAAGTAAAACGTTCACAGTAACTTGGAAAACTTCCGATTCACATCACAAAACAGACAAGATTTCCAGGTATGCACAGATCCATGTTCTGCGATTCAGAACGAAGCAACAGAACTTCTGGTGACACAAAGCAGCCCTACGACATTGTAAACACATCTCTTTTAATCCAATAAAAAATATTGCTCTCAACTTCAAAACGGTTTTGCCAACAAATACTACTTGTTAACTCTGCATGCAGATCACGTTGGGACATTTCTGCGATTAAATATCTGCTGCACTACCTATTTGTTTGCTCATACATCACAGTGCATCAGTCTTCACAGTGACTAGTGAGCAGGAAGGGCCGCATCACATCACAGTTCTCGGGAACTCTAGCTGTCTCCTGTGAAAAGCCCATGGGAGTGTGACAACATGGCGACTTACAGCACTTTCACAAAGTTCACGATTTTATGCTTACTTCAAAATTTGTAAACATCGTTCTATAATGAACATTTACAGTTGAACATTACAACATGAACATTGAATGAACATTTATTCATCGTGTTATAAAAATAATTGAAATGGTTTCTGGGCTTAAGGTTAAGGACTTAAGGACTTAATGGTCTCTGGACGTCTTGACAGGTTAGAAGAACTGAATTCTTTGGTCTTGAACAGGGAAGACTATGTGAGGTCTTGATTCAAGTACTCAAATATTCAAGAAACTGACAAAGTCTAGCCAGTGGACTTCTTCATAATCAACTGTAAAATGTGATTGAACGAAACAAAGGATAAGAGTATTCAGGTCTATTAAGACAGGAGGAACTTCTTTATACAATGGTGGTGGAAGTCTGGAACAAGCTACCCAGCCGTGTCGTTGAAGGCCCTTCAAGACGAACAGTAGCTGGATGAGATCAGGTGACTACAAGCCACCAAATGAGAACCACCTTGGAACTCGCAAGCTTTTTAGGGAATGAACTCTGCGCCAGACAGCAGTGCTATCTGGTTACACTAGTGAAGCTCGAAGAGGATGAGCTCATTTCACAGTCAGGAGAATCTGGTACATGGATTACCTGAGTAACGCACAGACAGGTGGGAATAATTATTGTTTCATAATTTAATGATTATAACTGTAACAACCGTATGTAGGACAGGGATGGAGAAGTATGGGCCTTAACTATCTGTACTTTTCTAATACAGAATGATTGAAAACTAGTGCATCAATGGCCCTTGTGGGCTGGAGCTGATGGAGTCCCATCCTTGATGAAATCAAAGTCAAACCCTCCAATAGCACCAAGTAGCAAATATGGAAATCAACCACGTTTGGGGATAAGTCCATAGAGACCCTCATCTGTGTTCCTGGCCAGGAAAGCCCACCATCCTGCAGACTCTGACGTTGACTCCTCAACCCAGAGCGCTTGGGAATTTCAGGTCCCTGAATAATTGACTCTTTCCATTTAGGAAGGGTACGGCTCCGATGAACTCTCCGGTCCAGTGTGGCGCGAAGGAGTGCCCATGGTGTATTTGTGTCACTCTCACACCATTTTGCTCATCTGCAAAACACAGGAAATTACAGAGACAGACCAGCCCTCAGAGCCACTGTCTCCCTTGCAAACCCACTTTGTTTTTATCACTTTTTCCTTTAAATTATCTTATAAGATTTTGAGTTTTCAAGACATTAACTTCAACATGTGGCGCTAATTAATATTTTTAGAACCAGACAGGCTTAATTGTTTGTTTTCACTTTAGATCGGGCCATCGCGGGGCATCCGAAGTAATGTGAGGCTGCTCACGATGAGCCATTGTAGGATCAAGCACAGCTCTGACCCGGGTCCAGTCTAACTGACCTCATGTCGTTTCAGGCCCAGTGCTTGCTACCTACCTGAACATGAGGCACAGCTGTAGCAATACACTAATATGCAGCACAGTGAGCACCTTCTCTCTATATTATCCTTCCTTTTCACTAACCATACGTGCATAGAAATAGCTTGCACTGTTTTTTATTAATCCGTCTAATATCTGGTAGTACTTGACCACAAGTGTCGTTCAGTCGCTCAGCCAGGTGACCTTCCTTGTCTTTATCATTCTGAGCATTTTACAAGATCCATTATAAAAATGCCTTTTATGCACGTATGCATGTACTGTATGTGTGCGTGTTTCATGAACGTTTACTATCCTTTATTCGTGTTTCTGGATATGAAGGAACAGGGTGCCAGACTGGGATAACAAGGCTTCTGCACTATCCAGACTACTCGGCAGACTTTAGGACCGTGATGTTGTCGTGGTAAGCCCTAGAGGCTGATGGGTGAATCTCAAACCGCAGGAAGACAAACCGTGACCGTAGCACCTGGGGCAGATTTAATTCAATAACATACAAACGTATGGGTGACGTGAGATGTTTATTGGACTTATTAGATGGACATACACACGCACCTAACCCTGCGAACACTTAGCAGTGTGGGACCAAAATAATTTCGCTGCACTAGCAGGTGCTGGGAACGGTCCTTTTGTAATGATGGAGCACATCAGAACGCCGAAGGTAAGGGACTTTCTTGTGCTGATGATCAGCAAAAAAGATCCATCATCATTATCGATGTGGTGGCTCATCATGAATTGTCAGTGCACACCCGTTTGCGTGCGAGAGAGAATTCGTGTATTTTGCTGAAGTGCAATAACGCGGCATGGCCATTCATGCAGTACAGTACGTATTGGCTTGTATTTGACAGAATGGAAATGACTAAGAATCGCTGAGCATTTGTTTTTAAATATTGTAACAGCGTTTGCAGTGCTCTTGTATAACCGCTTCATTGCCTAGATGCTACACTGAGTTCTGTGTATTGTACCAGAATAATGAATAAGGGAAATGTAATGGCCCTTATTTAGGTAATTTAAGGAAATGGCTAGAATGTGCGTCTTTAAAGTCAAAATGTACCCACGGTTGGGTCTTGGTTTAAATTGCCGTTAATACAGGTGAGTTGCGGCCCGTCGTGTCGGTTGCTTTCCTGGGATTTTGTCATGTTTTCCTCCTCCACCGTGAGGGCCTCACTCGGGATAGGTTAATGTAAAAGTAATTAGATCCCCCAGAAGCCTCCCTCCTCCTCCTCCTCCTCTTTCTGAGCTCAGCAGCATCAGCAGCCGACCGGCGAGGAAGATGCAGCTGATGTATCAGTCCGCTGCCGTTTCAACTGTGCTCCATGGCAAAGCTTAACTTGGGGCCATGCATGTTCATGTACTGTAGAGAGCGCACATACAGTACTTTGATAAAGGAGAGCAACGGAGGCGAGATTTAATAATGGGTGTGATGAAGCCATTTTATTAATACATTACAAGGGATGTTGCAAGATGGCACTTCACTAAAATCACGTTCAGTACCCGATGCGTACAAAAAAAACAAAAAACGAATAGTTTTATTTTTCCGTTTTGACTTGTTTTGGTATTCTTTACCGCTTCTGTGTTTCTCCTAACATCCCTTAATAAAGAGGTATTAGTATTACCTGCTGTGTGTATGGTGCTGTCATGTACTGTCCATAGTCCAAAAATGGTTTTTATTTACCACAAGCGTATAGCATGGCAGTGTGTCAAAAAGGTTTAAATTAACAATGAAATTATTAATTTGATTAATGTGTTCTCTTAGTCACTATTTTCTGTATTGTTTTGTTTTATTATTCTGTGCTCTTAAAATGTAATAAAACTGCTTGAGAAGCCTGCAGTGAACAATCTTCTGAGATTTTTGTTGGAAAGGAAAAAAATGTTTTTGCTTATATTATTCTGAAATTGTTAACATAAGCCAAATGTCAGGCTTTGAATTGTGGAATTGCAGAATATATACAGTATTTTGATTAAAATTGTGCACTGGAGGGGTGACGTCGGATTGCAGTGGGAGTAACAAACTGATTCAGACGGATTTGGGATTTTCTACTCGTCTTCTCCTGGGTTTTTTTCAGGTTGAAAACGTCCGTCTGATTGACGGAGTGTCTTCCAGGAAAGCAGCGGTGGGCACACTCTACCTGACCGCAACTCACGTCATCTTTGTGGAAAATGTGTCGGAGACTCGCAGGGAGACCTGGGTAGGCACTCGAGCTCACTTTGACAGTGCAGTGCGCGCCAGACGTCTGACTGATGCCTTGGAGAAACGCTGAAAATGTCAGCGCGCTTCTTAGAGTTGTTGTTTACAGTGAATTGCTCGTTATTCAGCTGATGCTTTAGCCCAGAGCAGCCTACATTCGTACAGGAAGCGCCTTGCTCAGGGCTACAGGGGCCCCACCTAAGACTTGAGCTCACAGCCTTCCCGCTGGCAAGTCCAAACCCCTGCTCCCCACTGCAGAAGGCAAATCAATTCAGAAGATCCAGCTGGAAGGAAAGACAAAGGCATAATGTCCTTGCTGAAATCAGTTCTGTTAGGAGCATAGTGTAGAATGAGTCTGTTATGGCGGTGTCGCCGGGCCTCCTGATGTACTGCGTCCTTGTGTGTTTGAGCTGTGCGACTCGCCTGGACCGGTGCCTGGTTTGAAGCTGTGGTCGGGCCCCATGCCCGGCAGTGGTTTGGTGATCTGGATCAGCTGCTGAGTCTGCGGACTAGTTGTCGGGAGAGGTGGAGTGTAACGTAGCTCACAACTCATAATAAGCCTGTTGCAGTGATCCCGCGCTTTCTTAAGAGCTTTCAAATCCCCTGCGTCAAGCGGCCGGCTTCCCGGCACTGAATTCAATCCCCCGTTTCGGGAGGGGGGACTTTTAGCATAGTTGGCTCATCTACAGTAGCTGTCTGTAAGGAGCTGCTGGTGCCAGAGAGACAGCGAGCTTCCTCCCAGGTCTGGCCCCGCAGGCTACGTCAACACTAAAACCGATCCAGACCAGTTTTTACAATGCTGTGGCCATAATAGAGCACTGAAGGAGGGCCTGTACCATCAAAGAGGGGGTAATGGATTGAAGAGCAGTGGTAAATGTACGTAATGAATATTTTATTCGGGTATTCCATAGAGCACAAAACCAATGAGTCGATTGCATTCGGGCATGGCTAATATCAGAGTAATTGAAGCCAACATAGTATGGGGGAAGGACCATTTAAGGACACAAAAAAATGACTTAGGATGGGTGGTGTCCGTCCATTTGTAGGAAAAGAAAAGAAAGTTAACATCAAGAAGCCACTTAAAAAGGCCTTCCAGCAAACATAACATGACACACTGCGGGACTGCAAGCCGAGCAAACTAACTGGATAACAGTGAACACGGCGTATGATAGAAACTCATTGCTGAAATTTCAATGGGATACTGAACGAGAGAACGGTTAAATTGCAGTTCATTATGGGTTATCTGCCTTGTAACGGCACCACAAGAGAGGTGCACAGAAAAAAGGAGAAATCTTGTCTGACCAGATTAATATATTTGAGTAAATATGCCACTATAGATAACATTAAAGTACAACAGTATACAGCACTTGTGTATACTGCTGCATGGAGTGCAGATTATTAGGACAAATGTTTAGTTTAGGAGTTGCAGAATTACATTTAACAAAAGACAGTAAACTAACTGATAATGCATATATACTGTACTGTAACAAGCAGCCTAACCCTGTTAAGACTGTAGTTAGGATTCAGTTTTTTTTACTAACATGTTATGAATCAAAAGATAGGTTATGATCAGATTTCTGTCACTCCGTTAATATTTATTTGCTTCTCAGATATTTTGGAGAAATTATAAATTTCTGTTGTGGTAGGTAAGCCTTTGATGACAACAGCATGTTTGTGTGGAAGTTCTTAAAAACCACCATGATCTGAGGTCCCATTGGTGGTATTTAAGTATGGTCATATTTCGATCACCTGTTATACACAAAGAAACGTTTTACATTTAGAAATGGATTAACACCCGTACATGAATGTAGTGCTCCGCTCTTCAAGAGAGTAGTGCGCATTCCTGTGCGGTTCTCCTCGGCTTCGATGTGGGATGTATCGCTCCAATTCTCTGCTCGTACTGCAGGTGCTCCACAGCCTGGTGAGTGCCATCGAGAAACAGGCCACAACCGCAACGGGCTGCCCCCTCCTCGTCCGCTGCAAGAACTTCCAGGTCATCCAGTTCATCCTGCCGCAGGAGAGGGACTGCCACGACGTGTACGTCTCTTTAATGCGCCTGTCGCGGCCAGGTAAAGCCTACCGACGCCCCTGGCAAAAAGGCAAAGGGAAGGACGCGTTCTCTGAAGTGATGCTCTCTCTTGCCACAATATTTCACCAGAGATCTATTTTGTTTGGTTTGAGTAAAACTGCTGCGTGACTCACAAAAAAGCGAGTTGCTGTGATCTTAACAGCAGAATTTCAAAGTAGTGAATGAAGGAATGGGGATGCAAGTGAGCACACGCCGAAGGCACCAACACATGACACAACCTAAGCTAGAGTAGCCCCAGCATTTTCACTCTGGGCTTTTTGCATGAAATGTACGTAAAAGTTCCCCAAGTAGGTGTGCAAGAATGGGACAAGTCCAGAACAGGGCTCACCAGTCCTGGTCTCAGGGGGCTGGTGTGTCTGCAGGTTTTCAGTCCTGCCTCGCACTTATCAAGCTCATTACTGGCTTAACTGGAGGCCTTCACCCATCCCTTTAAAGCGTAGATGCTTGAAAGACCTAAAAATAAACCTCGAGACCCCAGAGGTAGAAGCTCACCACTGAGTCCCTCCTGGGTCGGTCACCAGTCACCGACTCCACAGCACTTTCCCGACGTCCAGGACTACATCCCAGTGAGCGCATCGCATCACCAGCGTCAGGCCCGGCCGGGAATTGTCTTGGAGCCTAAGAAGCAACACATCGGTACCGACATCAGAATAGGCAAGGATTCATACCTTCAGCACAGGAAAGCAAGTGTTGGTCAAATATATACCGTGCAAAAGTGGCAGATGCCGGCAAGTACACTCAGTATTGTAAGTGACACAAACTTGTTCCGCCCTTGCCTGGCGTCTCCCATAGACGCCTTCAGAAGAGGGACGGTCCTGGATATTGAAGTAGAGCTGTACTGATGTCCTCCGAAAAGTGTTTTGACATCACACCCTTCCAAATGTGCGAACTGTGACTCGCAGAGATCTGGGCCGGGTTATTTCTCTGGTAATGTGAGCTGCACATTCACCTGCGTTTTGGGAGCAGTGTATGTTCGGTGTCCAAGACCCCAGAGAAGAGCCCTCGATGATTTCTTTGACTGTGAACCGTTTTCTTTGTTCGCATAATAACTTGACTCTTTTTTTTTTTGTTGTTGTTGTTCCTTTCAGAGAAGTATGAAGAGTTATATTGCTTTTCGTTCAACCCTAAGGTGGATAGAAAGGAGAGAGAGCAAGAGTGGAGTTTCATAGACCTGAGGGCCGAATACACCCGCATGGGCGTCCCGAATTCCCTCTGGCAGGCCACCGGTGTGAACCGCGACTACGGGGTCAGTGCTGCGCTGCCTGTGGCGTGCCAGGTCCACAACACGGGGAACAGGCGCGATCTCGGCTTTCTGTTTGATATGTGGCAAGATTTGGCTTTTGTTGTTATGTTTTTACTGTAAAAAAACAAGTTCATTCGATTGACCGCATCTTGTGTGCTGTGTCACCAGGGAACATCTTTGTTTTTATGTACCGTACATATTCAGCGGCCAGATGGGGATTTGAAATGCACTGTTTGAATTTTAGTCCTTTTTCATGTGCCATACGGTTTAGAGAGTTTTGTTCTGATTTTGCTGGTAAAAATGTATGATGTTGACGTGCTGTGTCTTTTAATTGGGGTCCGTGCTGTTTCATTAATTAATTGGTTTATTACACAACAGTGCCACAGCTGTGGAAACGCACTTTTTGGTTTCGTTGTGATGGTATTGGAGAATATTTGCCTGTGAGAAAATGAGTGTCGCAGTTTTGAAAAAATGTTGTTTTATCTTCTCGGGTAGACATGAACTTAAGGGGGTTGTGCGCGTCGGAGCCATCGGCGACGCACCATAGTTAACCGTTGACTTTGAAAATCTGGTGCTCGATTGACTGAGCTGTCCGGGAAGAACAGGAAGAAAAACGATGGAGAAAACGAAGGCGTATTTTTTTTTTTCCCTTCAGGTGTGCGACACGTACCCCTCAGAGCTGTATGTACCAAAGTCGGCCACTCCCGCCGTCATAGTGGGGAGCTCCCGGTTCCGGAGCCGGGGGAGATTCCCAGCGCTGGCGTACTACTGCCGGGACAACACCGTGAGTTATCCCCTGCTTCCAGACCCGCGCCGCTATTGAAATCCGTGTGTGCAATTGAGGACGCACTGCTGCGGTCTTGTTTCTCACTTGGAAACTGTGGCCTCTTCGTTTGCCGGGTGGTTTTGGAGTAACGGGGATTCGTGGCTGAAGTGCGTCCTTCAGTAGCCGTGACAGACCTTAGTGGTGTCTTGAGCCACTAAGCCCGTGTCTTAATTTCAGTCAGAATCCAGACAAGAATGAAGAGGCTTTCGCATCCAATTCATGCGCTTTTTGTGGGTTGAATATCCTTAAGGCCTTCAGAATTTTCTGAGCTGGTTCAAAAAGTGATTGATTTTTTTTTTTTTTTTACACGTTCATCTGGCATGTTGTAATTAACCAGTATGTCAGGATCTACGTTTACATTTATTCATTTGGCAGTTGCTTTAGTCCAAAGTGAAACGCAGTCTCACCCGGTGAAGTTGTAAAGGCAGCAGCATAGATACATTTTGAATCAACCCACGGAGAACAGCGGGCGCAGTGTTGATTAAGTGCTGGGATGTTGCACAGAGCACACAACCCAACTACACTGCGGGTGTTAACACATGGTTTGTTAATTAGACCGTCTGTTCTCTGTACCTTCTGTGTTGGTGCCCAGCATGTATTTATTCATTCTGCAACTTAAAAAATGTGGTGGGCTTTCAGACTCTTGCTTCAGATCCACCAGTCTCTTCCCAAGTATTGTAATGTGGTAAGCTAAGGCTGGAACCTTAGCATGCCCTTCAGCAATTTACAGACTGATAAAGGCTGTTTCTAAGCATGTGCACTCTGATGCAATGTTCTTGACTTAACCCCACACAGAAGATATTCATTGCACAGGAACATAATGGAGGATGCAGACGAAAAGAGCCTATTGGATTAATCGAGCCCATTGTGGTAGTAGCTAATTGTTCCAAGAATCTCAGGTTATTGGCTTCAACAACATAGCTGGGCATCTTATTCCACACTCCTACCACCCTTTGTGTAAAGAAGTGACTCCTGTTCTCGGTGTCGAATACAGTTCCCCACAGGGAAATGGAAATGATTGTTCCAAGCAGTGTGTTTGACATTAATCTACTGGATTGTAATCTGTATTGAAACAGCAGATTAACGTTCTTTAATAGGAGGTCCTCAATCAAAAAGGAGTCTTCTAGAAGCACAGGTGAAGGTGAACCAGGTCGATCAGACTCATAAGGGAGTAGGATAAAGCCTCGTACTGGAAATTGTACAAAAGCACGAGCTGTGTGCTGGAAAATCTTGTGCTGTAGAATTGAAAAAGACCAGGTTTTGCTGGCAAAATCGTAGCTTCTCATGGAGACTGGAAAATTGGAAATTCCCCTCGGATTAATAATGTTTATTGTTCATGTCCTTTCATTTGAATGTCAGATGCTTGAAATGTGTTTGACTTCTTTAGAGGTTTCAAGGGAGTGGTTGTCAGAATCAAGGGTTTTACATGATAAATTATTCGTTTTGGATATTTTTTGTACTACATAGTAATGATAAACTAGGTGAAACAGCTCTACATATACAGTATATAATTCCGCTTAGGGGGGCTTGCTGCCAAATTCCCATGAAAAGTGTCATAATAATACTTGAGTGTTGAGAGGTGATTCTGAAGTGTGGTTGGAAGAAACATGATGTTAATGTCCTAAAGGTCATCAGATATTCTGTATTTACGCCTAAAAATAAATTTTATTTGTTAACATATTATTCCCAATCCTCCACTTACTCATGTTTCTTGTCCTGTATAGAAAATAGTCTCTGTCAGTCCTAAAGGGAAAGATATCATCATATCATAAACAGAATGGGAAAATGTATTTGCTTATTTTTTCTCTCTGTTACTATAATTTTTTATTTTTTTTTATTTTGCAAGGCCTTTTTTTCCCCCTCAGTAACCAAAAGACATTTTGTTTTTATCCAGCATAAATGAAAGTCTTGGAAAACGACATATCTTTGTATTTTGATGTCTCCACTAATGGTAAAGGCAAAAATGCAAAGCTAGGTGTATAGTCTAATGATTAGTGGAGCAGTAATAATTTGGTATTTAAACAGCTTTTTTTTTATTAGTTCAGACGTATGTAGTTCAATGGCAGTGCATGAAATTGGTAATCATTTGTTGTGACCCTCAAAATCCGAACCAGTGTGCTTTAATTATAATTGCTGCATTTTTAAAATGAAGGAATCCCTTGATGTAAAGTCTATTAAGTATATATTTTTTAAAACTTTGTTAAAGAATTGCTTTCATTAGACTTTTTCTTAAACTTTTTTCGTATGTTTTACTTACTGTAATATACTACTAAAATACAGCCATGTTCGTAAGCTTTCCTTGCACTACTAGAGTTGAGGCTTAGCTCTTTAATGACAGTAAGCACTTTGCAGAGAACTTCATATCTCCGGATATCTCTCGCTCTTTAAATCTCACCAGCTGCATTTTTCCAGTTACCCCCAACACGGAAGGCAGAAAAAGTTGAAAGATGAAAATTGTGAGGAAGACAATGCAAACAAAAAAAGTTCTGTAGAGACACTTGAGTATCGAGCACTCATCTGAGTTTTCTGAACTTAATGTTCAGAAATGCCCTTGTTCCGTGACTTCAGAGAACTCATCATTAAAATTAACTTAGAGATATTAAAAATAAGTCATTGCAGTTTTTTATATGTTGCAGAGTTTTTCAGAATCTTTTAACTGTGGAGATCCTCCTTAGTGAAAACAATGATTTTACAGTCTTGTTTCTACTCCGGCACGTGAGAGCGCACCCTGCCACCTGGTGGCTGAGATCTGGGAAAAAATAGTCCTATCTCCGCTCTGACGAATTTTCATTATTTGACTCTTTTTGGTAAAACGGTGTTGGCGAATCTCGACGGGCGCGTCCCCGCCGCGGGTCAGATCCGGTGACACGCGGGACATGGTGAGCTTGTCACCCTCTTTTCTCGTTGCGCTCAGCGCGATTTCCCTACTGCGCCCGTGTCTCCGAACCCAGGCCTCCATCTGCAGAAGCAGCCAGCCCCTGGCGGGCTTCAGCGCACGCTGTCTGGAGGACGAGCAGCTGCTGCAGGCTGTCCTGAAGGCCAACCCGGGCAGCGACTTCATGTACGTGGTAGACACCAGACCGAAGGTCAGTCCCTCCTGAGCGCCTCGTCCCTGTTGGCGATGCACATTTCGCCTTGCATGCCATGCTGGAATATTGTTATGGGGTCTTTATTTGCAAATTGCCTGATAATCAATATGCATTTCGGCATCTGCAGTAGCATGGCCTATTGAACAGTCGATTGGCAAGCTTGTTTTTGGAAATTAAACCAGAGCATGTAAAATGTGTGTGTGGTTTCACGTCCTTTGATTCCGAGAATCGTGGATTTGGGAATAAAATTAAGGCCTTCAATTGAGGCCGGCACCATGGCATTCATTACAAGACTCACAAAAGCATTTATAAGAATTTTGTTCCAGTCATTCATCTCTAAAACTGAATAAATATATTTATCTCACTGACACTTTTAATCTAACCGGTTTACAGTGGTTAGAGTTAATTTTTTGCCTTACGTTTTTTGATACTCATTTATACAGCTGGGTTTGCCAGAGCTGTGCTTGAGGGTAGAGTAGCACTGTTCTCACATGGGGCTTGAACCTGCAACCCTCTGGTCAGGAACTACAGCTCCTCACAGCCCTCCTAGGTCTTCCTGTTGACTTTGTTGAGAGAAATGTAAATAGTTTGCAGACCTGGGTGACTGATGATAGCTGTAGAGGCTGGGACACCAGTTCTCTTCAGTAGAAGTAAAAAAAAAAAAAGCTCCATTAATATAATTTCTTTCTGTTTTCAGCTTAACGCAATGGCCAACAGAGCTGCAGGAAAGGGCTATGAAAATGAAGACAACTATTCCAACATCAAATTTCAGTTTATCGGTATAGAAAACATTCATGTCATGAGGAACAGCTTGCAGAAAATGCTGGAGGGTAATCTTTCTTGGTTTCTTGCTCTGAGAAAATCATTCTTCTGTGTTTTAACTTGCTCTCAGCCTTTCATTGTTCTGCTCAAACGAACGCGTCATAGGCATGCCTATTTTGGCTCCCAGTGACGATTAATATTTTATTAAACTTTTGTTCCGAAGGCTGCTTTCTTAAATGCCAGTATGCGGCACTTCCTCTGCTACGCTGTGACATCGTGAAGTTTTATGGCTGAAAACTCAAATCGAGATCCCATCTGGATCTCATTCCCAGGCTATTTCTATTAGTGCGAGCAGCTGTCTGGTGACTCCCCAATAAAGCGAAACGGAGGGCGTGAGAATTAGTGTGTTCAGAAATCTGTCCAAGGCATTGGGGAGCTGCTGGCCTGAAACAATGCAATAAACTGATTTTTCTTCACATCCTTGGATTATCTCTTAGACCTTTAGACCTTTCCTTGAAATTCAGCCTGTTTGTAATCATCATGTCGGACAACTACAGTATACAGATGTTCATGGCTCTGTGCGGAGTTGTCTTCAGATGAGGCAGATGTTGCCCCTTGTTGACATTTTTTTTATGTCAGCAAGGTAGAAACGATGCAGAAGATTCAGTGTTTACTTAGACATGTGTGAATCCACCAGCAAAGATCAGGGATGTGTGAGCAAAAAGGTTTTTTGTTATTTGTTATATTTTAATGTTCTACTGCTTTGACCTGAATTGGCATTGTTGATTATGGTATTTGTTTTTAATTGTGATAATTGTTTGAAATATTGTACTTTAAATTTAAAGAATCTTCCTGAAATGAGGAGCTTGTAAAAACGTGTGAAGTACTTGTTGGAATCTGTTAGAGGTATACTGGCTTTTTTAATACAGTGAAGTACAGTCCAGGAAAACCTCAAATTTGATTCTTCATATCGCACAGCAGAGTAAACACATTGTCAAGACCTGAAATATTAATTTTCACCCTTCTTATAGTAAATTAATTTTAACAGTGGATATCTGTTTTAAGAGACCATAAATAAATTTGTTTTCAGTAAGAGCAGATATCTGTTTAGATACAAGTAATAGGTTTATTCCATGGTGAAAAAAGAAGAAAGAAAACAGTGTTTCGGCCATGGAGCCTTCTTCAGGTGTGAGAAAGACAGGACAGTAAGCAAAGGTAATGTAGTGGGAGAACAAAGGCTGGGAGAGAGGAGGAGCGAGAGGCGGGAGCAGGGGACAGAAAGAGGCCAATCAGGAGGTGTGAAGTCAGGATAGGTGTAGAGAGGTGTGAAATTAAACCTACAATGAATAGAGAGAATTTAGAAGAAAAGTTGTTGTTAAGAGAATAGGGAAGGTGTGATCCTAGCTGCAGGATAATTTTGGTTTCTTTAGTCTTTCTGATGTATGAGTTCGGAAAACTGCCTTTGAGAACACAGACGGAGAGATTAGAGTGGTTATGGCTGTCGGAGGTGAAATGTGAAACAATGGGCTTGGAGAGATCTTTATCCGTTTAGATGTTTTCTCATTCTTCAGAGGGTGTTAAATCAGACACAATGTACTACATGTATTCTGTTGTATGTACTACAATAGTATTTCACAGATTGAGCTGTATAGTTAGGAGAAAAGGAGAATTTATCCCAAAATTGTTTTCATGTAAATATTGCTAGTTCAACAACTTTTATTTTCTTGTAATTTTATACATGCAGTACAAGTCAAGCTAGAATAAAATTGTACTACTTGAGTATGCACTGTTTGTTAGTCACATATGTGGTGAGGTTTGTTCTTTGTTCAAATACAAGTTCATTTTTTACCACCTTCTAGTTGTTAGTCACCACTTCAAACGTCATACAGTCTTGGAAAGACTGAAGAGTGTCGGAGTCAATCCCCGTTTTACACACAATGAAACCCACCTTTATAGGTGCCTTATAGGAGAGTTAGAATTTATAGAAGGAACAGTGGAGTTCTCGCTGAAAGCACTGCAAGTTTGAGTTGTTGCATGGTCAGACAGCACCAGCCAAATCACGATCACACTCAGCTAGTGAAGTAGTGCAGGGCTGAGCTGGTGATGTCTGGGCTACAGGCCTCAACTCACCAACCAGTTTTAGGGGAGTGCCTACAACTGGTTAATGTACAAAAGAGTACATTGAAATATACTCTGGCCTGATGCTTCTTAAATGGGGAGGGGGGAACATCTTTCGATGGTAGAAATAATTTATATTTTGAAATTCCTTGTGATTTGTAATCCTATTGGTGATTTTCATTATTTATTTTTATGTGCATGTGAGCTTATTGTGTGGCGTTTTAACCCTGAAATCTGTTTCATTCTGCTGTCTGCAGCGTGCGAGTTCAAGTCGCCTTCCATGGGCGATTTCCTCTGGGGTCTTGAGAATTCTGGGTGGCTGAAACATATTAAGGCTATCCTGGATGCTGGGATCTTTATTGCAAAGGTCAGTCTGACAGTTTTGTCCTTTTTTTTTTTTAAAGACAATTTAATTTAAACTCTGCGGGAGTGTACAGTGGACCTGTCCTCTTTCTATTCAGTATGCTGCAGTATTTTATTCATGTACACGTTCTTATTTTAATAAAGCCAATGACAAGTGTGTTCCTGTTAGGATCAGTTGTCCCTAATATTAACCCATGCCATTTTAAAAGCACTCTTGATCAGTGTCAGTCTTCCAGCTGGATGGTTTTATATCCCCATACAAAGTTCTGCATGTATCACATGCTGTGCAAGAAAAAGTTTGTATTTCCGGTATTTTGCATGAAACATTTGAAGATGTACTGACTATCACTGTAAATGCTGTTACATGGAAGTTAAGTTTTAGGTGGTTTCCTTGTTCCTTTTTCTCGCATGACTGTAGAACGCAGGCTGGGTAGCAGGTGATTTGAGTCTAAAACGCTCCCTGTTGTCTGTGTGAACCCAGGCTGTGGCCGAGGAGGCGGTCAGCGTTCTGGTTCACTGCTCGGACGGCTGGGACCGGACCGCGCAGGTGTGCTCAGTGGCCAGTCTGCTCCTGGACCCTTACTACAGGACCATGAAGGGCTTCATGGTGTGTAGCCCTGCCTCTGATCCCTTTGTCCTTGTCAGGCTCGCTGCCCGTAGATACCTGCTGCGCTGGTTTTTTGACCGGTCCCACATCTGGCTTAGTGCTCAGTTGATATTTATTTCAAATTACACTTTGGAAAACACATTTATTCAAATATGTACAGTATGATTGTGATGCACTAGAATGTGTACAGAGATTATGTTCCAAGATGCCGCATCAAGTTATTAAATCCTTTGGAGCTTCATTCATTTGGCAATTTTATTGTTAATAGTGAGCTTCCAAAAAAGCAGGATTCTTCTTAAGAACAAAATGAGGCTCTAGACCTTATTGGAATGCAATTACATGCTGGATTTGTTGTATAGGTCTGAGCTGCTGTTTGGGTGTAAGCTGCCTGTTGTCTTTGTATTCAGGTGCTTATTGAGAAAGACTGGATATCGTTTGGCCACAAGTGTACTCACAGGTGAGCCATAAGATTGCTTGTTTTCTGTTAGTTTCTTCTCAGGACCCCGTTTTGAGATATTTTAACAGTTTATGTCAAAAGTTTCTTTGTTTCTATAACATTAATTCAGTGTCTTTACCTCTCTGTATAAGAAAACGTATTCAAGGTAATAAACAGACAGGTATGAGTTTGAGGATAACGAAAAGTTTCAAATCTGCACGTAGTATTTAAGTAATTATTCTAAGGGGTACAGTTTAAATGTGTTTCAACACTGTCTGCTCAGTCTGGTAGGAAAATCTAGTTAATAAATTGATTTTGCAAGCCAATAAGACTGAATTGCTTTTGGTGCGGTGCAGTCCATACTCTGTGCATGCTTGTCCAGTACACTTCAGCCTTGACGGAAGTGCAAGTAGAAATGAAATATGACTGAGATGCTTTTGGGGAAAAAAAGGATATTCTGTCCGTCCTGAGCTGGTTGACTTTCCTGTCGCGTTCCTCGCGTGTAGGTACAACCACCTGGATGGGGACCCCAAGGAGGTTTCTCCTGTCATCGACCAGTTCATCGAGTGCGTCTGGCACCTCCTGGACTGGTTCCCCTGCGCCTTCGAGTACAACGAGAGGCTCTTGGTCCATGTCCACAGCCACATCTACTCCTGCCAGTTTGGCAACTTCATGGGCAACAGTGAGAAGGAGAGGCGGGGCATGAGGTGGGTGGGGCACGGGGGTGGGCGGGTCCCCGCTGCCAGGTGTGGCAGTTCTGGGGCAAGAGAGGTAGTGGAGCTTCTGGGGAATGGCGGAGTCCCAGAGACCTCTCGAGATTTGAGCCTGAATGCATATGCTCTTCTGTGGCAAGATTTCTCAAGATCTTGTTGTCTGCTCCTCGGTTCTGGACCACTGCCCAGTCAGCAGCCTCCCTGCTGGTCTCAGACCGGCAGAAGAAGACGAAAGTCTTCTGTAGGTGTGACACTGTGATGAACTGGTGTCCTGGGAACCCTGTTTTGTGCCAGTTAACCGCAGGGTCAGGTTCCTGCCCGCTGCCACCCTGAGCTGGAAAAGCGTATGTTTGGTCCAACGCTGTCCAAGCATGACATCAACTTTGGCCGCACTGTTTTATTTTAAAAGGGTTATATGATATTTCCAGAAGTCCAGTATCAGTATGCTATTTTTTCCTTAATGATACTGTATATATATATATCTCATTCAGCATAATATACAGAGGTGAAAAATACTCTCTAATTGAACCAATAATTTTGTCAGATGTAGATCTTCATCTTTCCTTTTTTCCTTGCGCCTTACTGTCTTTATTATTGTGATATTCACCGGGACATGTTTGTTTTATGAAGCCAGTAGAATAATAACAAACTTCATTTTATGTAGTGCCTTTACATAACTCCTTTTCTCCATTCCTTGGCAGAATCCGGGAGAGGACACACTCTCTTTGGGCTCATCTGTGGAAGAACAGGGCAAATTACATGAATCCCCTGTACAGACCCGACCACAGTCAGACTCAGGGCGTCCTGCGACCAGATACTTCTCCCTACTGCTTCAAGTGGGTACCGCTCAATGGGCAGAACGGCCTCCTCTGGCTCAGGAAGTCTTTACATTGGATTTTACAATGCAAATTTACCAGATCCGCTTTTCCATCGACAACCTTCCAGATGTGTAGGACTCCATGATCCAATATAAAGTATTCTGCTGTAATTTAGGCATCTTTTTTAAAATATTTTGTTCATGTAGTGCGGTTGTGGTCCTCTGCTGTGCATTCCCTCCCAGTCTGTCCGAGGGGCAGTGGCGAGGGCGGTTTTGAGGGTGTTGTTGATGTCTTTGGCAGGTTCTGGGGGGGGATGTACAACCGTTTTGAGAAGGGAATGCACCCCCGACAATCCGCGCTGGATTTCCTGATGGCTGTGAAAGAGGAGACGCAGCAGCTGGAGGAGGAGCTGCTGCTCCACGAGGAGGTAGGAGAGAGGACTCCAGCTCGCGGTGTCATGTCTTTGGTGAAGGTGGCGGAGAGGGCAGAGTGGGGCGACTGGGGTGAAGCTCTGCTCTTCCTGCTGAGGCACTGTTTTGACCGCTCTGATGGAAACGGCATCTACCGTGTCTCAGTCCAGCTTCTTCATTCACCCACCTCTCTAAAAACAATTATTGCAGTTCAGAGCTAAAAAGTGGTCTTTATAAACGGGTGAACCTCACAGATAGAGCTTTTCTGGACACTCCATTTAAAGTGCTGTACAGGTCATGGGGATCCCCTCCGCCACCAGCAGTGTGCAGCCCCACCTGGATGATGCACCAGTCCGCTCCCCACACACCAGCTCTCAGTGTGGAGGAGGACAGAGTGACGAGGCCAGTTCAGAGATGGGGGTTATTAGGAGACCATGATTGGTAAAGGTCAGGGGGAAATTTGGCCAGGATGCCGGGATAACACCCCTATTCTTTTTGATAAACACCCTGTCACTATACTGGGTCATTAGGACCCACACAGACCGCAGGGTGAGCACCCTCTACTTGCCCCACTAACACCTCTTCCAGCAGCAGCCTCAGTGTTTCCCAGGAGTCTCCCATCCAGGTACTGACCAGGCTCACACCTGCTGGGCTCCAGTGGGCTGCCAGTAGTGAGCTGCAGGGTGATATGACTGCCGGCAACAAAAACAAAATCTTGAAGAGGTGTCCATGTCAAAGCCACATTATAGTTTAATTGGATCTTTATAATGCACTAAAAAATAATTACAATGACTAACTTCAGCAGCTGGAGTGGGGGTCTCAAAACCCGGGAACCGTCATCCCTAATGGGGACCATCCCAGTACACAGAACCTTTACGAGTGAGTAAAACTGCTTTAGCAACAAAAAACAAGTCTTCCTCAGGTGAGACTGTGCCCTCAGCTTATTAACAGACACTTTCATCTCAAGAGACGATCGAGTGAAGGAATCTGAGAGAAGTACTCTGCTTAAGAGTACCTCGGGAGCATACAAGTGCAGAGCCATAGGATCGGTCCATCTGTCGTTTTCTGTCCCTTTCTGTGTGACCATGCAGTGATCATTTCAAGGAATAGTCCTGCAGGCTGGTGCACTGAGGTTGCCCGCTTAGTAAACGCGGTAGTGACCCATGGGTCTTGCTGATTTATTTTTAGAAAATTGCACTGCTGGAAAAGCAGCAGGTGAAGAGCCGAGCAGCGGGCCAGCTGGTGGACGAGGGTCCAGCAAGGGGTGGCCCCCCGCCTGACAACCTCATGGCCAACACCCCGCAGGACTACACCGGGGGCGTGGGGGGGTTCCCCTCGCGGAGCCCGTCTCGGCCGCTCGCCGGGGGCGCCCTCAAGCGCTCGGACCCCGACCTGTCGGCCAACAGCGACCAGGAGTCGGGCGTGGCCGACCTGAGCTGCCGCTCCCCCAGCGGCGGGGACTCCCTGCCCAGCGAGGACAGCGTGAGGGACCCCGACTCCGACGAGGCCCCCTGCTCCAGCGCCTGAGTGAGGAGGGCGCAGCGGGCCCGGTTTGATCTGAACTGGGCAGCTGCTGTACAGAGAGTTTTCCCATTTATTGTGAATTTTAAGAGTATGGAATCCCCCTGTCCAACCCTGTAATGCAGCAACTGTAAATATGATTTTTTTTCCCTGGTTCTTCCAAACCTGAAGCTGCGGTTTTGACCTGACAATGCCGTGTGAAGCCATCTCCAGCCAGCGTGACGCACCGCAGTGAGGCGTAAGTTAAGCAGTTTTTTTTATCAGGTGCAGGTGCATTTATGATAAGTGTTCAAATTTGAAAAGCTTGGATATTTTTTCGTTTTCCCATGTAAATGGCCGGGAGAGCAACGGGTTGTAGCATCATCATTGCCTGAGTTATGAACACGGTTAACTAAATGTAAGTTGTGGATCCTCAAGTCCCCACAGGGGGCGATGAGGATTCAAGCGGCTACATCTGGAAAATGGGCAGTTTTTCACTTGGGGGGGCCAATAGGAATCTCGTTTTTAAGCTTTTAAGGTAAGGTGCGAGAAAATGCAACCATGATTTGCCAGTGTGTTTCCAAAGCGGGCCTCCGGTATATAACCTTAAAGACTCCAGGCATTTGTGATGGTGTTGCGTTGCAGTTGAGGAGACAAGCGAGGGATTAATCAAGAACCTTGCGAGACAAAAATAACAGGAAAAACTAAAGCACTTGTAATATCCATTGTTTTTGTTGAATGTGTGGTCTGAAGAATCTTGGATTGCAAGCTCAGCCACATATGGGGAATTTTAACTGATATAAACAAGGTGAGAACTCAGGTGTGCTTAACAAATCACAAAGCTAGAACAAATTTGAATATGTCTCAAAGAAAAGCTTTAACCATATACCTGTAGGAATTGGCATAGAGTGGGATTCTTAATCCAAGCAAATGTTATTTTTATGATAAATATACGTACTGTAGGTAATGCCTAAAGATAAACACTTCATCTCTTGTTGTGTACTGTGAACTATTAGACCTTTGCTTAGGAATTTTATGCTTAGGTCTGGATATTTATTCTTAAAATGCTATACCTGCCTACCTTTTTATAAGGAGTTTTTAATCATTAATTCATGACATTTCCTCTAGGAAACTTCTGAAGTTATATTTAAATGCATTTTAATTTGTGAATTGTGGAAACATTTTATTTCTGTAAAACATGCTTTTGATAATGTACTGTATTGTGCAAATATTAAAGCAAATAAAAGGTTTGTTTAAAATCCAGCTCACCCCCAAAGTAATTTCAGTCATTCTTGATCTTATAAATTGTGAATAATGTATGCCCCTGTGTACTACTCATCTGTTCCTTGGAAAATGTGACTGCATATAGCCACTTACAGTTTGTATTTTTAAGTTTAGTAGAATGTAAATTTTACATTATTTTGAAAGTCTTATTCTTTCTAATATAATGCTTTTACAGGTTGTGAAATTGGAAATTTTGAATGTGACCTTTATAAAGACCTTTTTAAAAATAGAATCACTTGCAATGAGAAAAATGGGTTATGAGCCAAAGTCCTTGCTATCCGGTACAAAGTGTAAATATTATCTGTTAGTAATCGTTACCCTGGTTGTTTGTGATCACTGATTTAGACCTGGGTTAGATTCATGGATCTTGAGTTTACAGTATTAGAGGTCTGGCAGACGATGTAGGCATCTTTGGATTAATGTATAACTCTCATTTACCTGAGAAACGTTTTTAATTAACTGCTAAGAAAAACGTCCACACTCTTATTTCATTAAAAAAAAGTAGAATCAAAGTTTCCTTTGGTTGGGATGTACCAGTTATCACAAATCAAAATAAAATAAACTGTTGCATGTCTTGATTTTCACTCATTTATTTCTTTTAGAAAAGCTTCATTTGCAATTCACTCGTTACAGATCTGCAGTTACAACTGGGGGTGAGTGCGTTAGTAACTAACAACAGACTTGAGTGGAGGATCAGATATTGGTCTACAGCAGGACTGCCCAGCTCCAGTCCTGGAGGGCCAGAAGACTTTTGGTTTGCCTTTCACCGGGACCCTTAAGTGTGCTCATTTGCTCAACTGGAGAAATTTGAAACCTTTTCTTGTTCTTGAAAAGCCAGTGATTTAAAAAGACCTCTACATTCAGCTGGACAGTGGGCTGCTGAAGACTGAAGACTGCAGTCAGACCTTCCTGGTCTAAATGATACTTCATTCTGACACCTGCTTGAGTATGAGTATGTACACTCCCCCAGACCGACAACAGCCAGCAAGGCCACACGCCTTATTGTTGCCTCATCAGGTGAAGAAAGTGGGTTGTAACTGAGACTTGCTCCCTCCTCTCTCTTCATCTCCTTTTTCACCCAACTTTGTTTTACAGTCACGTGAGCTGCTGCTGATCCTCTTAAAATTGCGGATTTGTAAGGCGGGGAAATTGCAGACCACAAAGATGATCTGCATCAGGTCCTCCAGAGATCCCTGGCTCTGTGGGCCGCTTACCCAACCACATCTCTCAGCCGTCCAAACAGTTTTCAGCTGTACCTGTAGAATAACTGCTGCAGAGCACGAGCAAAACCATGAGGAAAAGAGTTACCTGGCTCGGCTCCAGCGAGGACTGCTGACATCAACAAAAAGGCCTGCACGAGCAAGAAATGCATGATCTAAAGGTTTATTACTTAACAAATTAAATAACATAAAATACATCTGATTATAATAAAGTCTATTATTAACATTATTTAAATACAGTATTTTTCTTAAGTACAAGGGCAGCAATAACATAGTTCAAGTAAATTTTATGATCTGCAAAATGCTTGACAGTGTGGTTAGTTCAATTTCTTTCTAGTTCTGATACAATTAATAACACAAAACACGGTGCATCTTCAGTTCTGGATTTCTATGAAAACAAGATGTGCTTTTTCATCCTGCTCTGAGCTGTGCTGGTAGTTCAACAAGTCAAGACCTGAAAAAAAAAAAAAGACATCATGAACTCCTACAGTTGAATACTAGATTAAAACTAGAGTTGTCAATTAATCTCTTCATTGGTCAGTAAAGTATAAAGTCTCCACGTTGAGAATTTAGTAATTATGTAAATTCCTGCTAAAACACACATTAAGTAAAGTATATTCAGCCTGTTATCAGACTGCTTTAGTTTATATATATATGGGTATGTAGTCTAATTCATGGAGTCTACTACAGTAATGTCCAGTGTACATTGTGTATATTTTGCCATTTAAAGCATTGTTAGGCATTAATAAAGTATAATGTAAATTATTAAACAACCACTACCAAAGCGAACACTTTAAAAAGCTTTAACTGTATTTGCATACTGTTCCTCACCACTGTTAAAACCGATTTCTCTATCTTCAGATCCTGCATAAATTGTCACTTTCATCATTTTCTACACTTTTAAAATAAGTAAAATATTTTTTTTTTTGCTACCTAGCGGAATTCTCCTTTTACTGTAACGTCAAACCATATTGAAGAATTATTCTACAGTACACGCATCCTGTTGATGGCTTTCCTACATTCCCAGAGTGAAGTTGAATGAGAACACAAAATACAGCGATCAACACCGAACCCTCCAGACTAACAGACGAGAATTACAAGGAAAGGTAACACTGCACGATTTGAATCTGCCTTATTGTTTTGGGGTTCATAATACATACAAAGTCAAAAGGCACACACAAGCAGTTGAAATGTAGTAGTAGTAGTAGTGCAGTTTAAACCTCAGCACTCCAAGCCTTCCACACAAGGATACAGGAAACAGGTGTGTGACCCTTCAAGTGTCAGAGGGCTTTTGTTTGGTATTTATGATAAGCGGTTTACCTTAAAAAGAAAAAAAACAGCCTAAAGTGCTGCATGAAACTGTCCGTGGGTGTTTATTGACTGCTGGAGCTTTTCCTCTTTGGCTCTTCTACAGTGACAAAGCTGTGGACCAAAGGAACAAGCTTGAATCAAATAATAGTATACAGACGTAGTCCGACAGAGAGTCTCGGCAAGCCGGACCCCGACTGAGTCCGACTTCTGTTTGCCCCGCAGAACTTCTCATTAGCTTTAAAACGGGGCTTAGCCACTTGGTAACCATAAGAAAATTCACTTAAAACTCAAAGTGTCAAACCGTCCATTAAAAACAATGGAACAACTACAGCAAATGGAAAGGGAGTTGTGTCCGGCTACGTACAGTCCGTTTCTCCATGAAGTTGGTGAGGAAGTCGTCAATGTCCGTCTTGCCCTCTAGGAACTCCTCGGCAACGACCTCCGACTCCTCCTCCGCTTGGTGAGCTGCGACTTTCAGCCTGGCCTGCAGGGCGCTCAAGCTGCAGCTCTGCCGACGAGACGGGTGAAGCCCAGCCTTTAAACCGCACAACCACGCCTGGAGCTCCCGGAATCGATCGGGGAGCTTCGTAAACCTTCCCTTCTTTTCCCATACTCTCGCTAAGTTTCAAGTTTATTGTCATTACACTCATATACATGGTATATGGTATAACGAAATGCTATTTAGCTAGCTCTCGGACATAAGTAGTACAAAGAGAAAAAACAACAACAACAACAACAACAACAACGACAATACAATTGTGTAGCAAAAGAAAGACAGAGACAACAGGCAGTGTGCAAAAAACAACAACAGACGATGTGCAAAAAAAACAACAACAGGCAATGTGCAAAACAACAAAAAGGTAACAGGTAAGTTTCCGGACCAACAGAAAGTTACATCTGCTCCACGTGACACATTAATGCGGGTCTGTGTGATCCGATTAAAGAAAAAAACAGGCAACTCCTACTAGCATCATCCTTAGGCGTTACTGGCTTGACTTTTCTCCCACCTCCCAAAAGACAACCACTCATTCCAGGGTCCCTGTCTAGTCCATATAAGAGACCTGCGCACCCCAGCACATTCACGCCTCCCAGCCTTAAGCCCCAAACTGGGCAGGACTTTAATACAGTGCAATGAACAATACGAAGAGCTCCTCAACCCTCCACCAGGAGGGGGTGCTCACACAAGTGCGCACACTGAAATGTCAGAGGATCCTTACCTCGCTCAGTTCATGCTGCCTCTGCATCTTTGTCTCAAAGGCAGATTTCAGCTGGTTCAACAGTTCATACTGAAAACAAGAGGCAAGCAGAAGTCAGCGGACCCAGAGCTCCACACTCTGTGGCACAGAGGTCAGGACTGCAGCTGGGAGGCCATGAGGCACTGCCCTTGTACACTGGAGCATGGTACTTCACTCAGGTCCCTTCAGTAAAACACCCAGTTACAGAAATGAGGACCAATATATTTCTTGGATAAACGATCTATTTTAGCCTGATAATAAAGTCAAACTGGGAACTGGAAGAAAGTGCTATGACACAGACTAGTATAAATCGGCTTAAGAAACATCTGTCCTGCACTGTTCCTTCCACGTTCAATTTAAACAACATATTTCACCCAGAAGAATCCAGCCTCCAGGACCGCCCTCATTTTGCAAGCAAAGCCACCACACACACAGAAGAGCAACATTAGATCACTCTCTCTTGCTACATTTCAAGCAGTGAAGCAACAAACCAGCACCCTTTTTCCTCTGGATGTGACAAGTTCCTTCAAACACTTCTACAGAAAAGCAGGTCAATTTACAAAACATCACATGACACAAAACATGGTCATTTAGTGGAACACTTACTTTGTACAACATTTCCTGCCTTTTCCCTTCCAACTGTGGCTCCAACTGCAAATTCTTTTCTGTATGAAGAAAACATAAATGGACTCTGAGGTCAGAAAGCTCAGCCATGCGCATGCCAGCGGCGACATTGCACAGGCTCAGTGATGCTACGTACTTGCCATGTCAATGATATTCTGGACAAGATCGTCCTTGTCTGAAGTGACCTGTTTCAGCTGGGGAAGGCGTATGAAATGCTGCAGCAATAGGTCCTCCTGATCGCTCAGGTCTTTCAGCTGAGCTATGCTACACAGAACAATGGAAAAACAAACAACATTCATTCGAGCTTCAACTGCATTCATTTTGGCCACATCGGTACTCAAATCTGGTATCCTCTTCCATGAAAAAACATATTGCCAGCGGATTGATGCCATAACTCTCTCTCTGTAAACTTAACTGGGTGGTTACAAACTACATCTGGAATCATGCAAATCTACAAACCAATAATTAAACTACTTGTATGGAAGCCTAGCAATTATTAAGCTTAAGTGTTGCTGTTATTGTTTTTTTTCCATCTCACTAAAGAATTAAAGACTAACAAAACAACCAACCACTCGAGATGATTCCAAACAAGTTGCGATTCCACACTGAAGATTTACCTCAACTCGGTCAACTCTGGAAATGTTTCAGGAATTTCAGGCATCTTGTAAGTGTGGCCATTCAGTCCTGCCTGAAATGCAGCAAATAATTCCAACAGGAAAAGTGTTTTCACCAACAGCTGGTAAAAACACATTGTCGTAACATCTACGCTCCGGGGGAAAAATAATACCTGCTGCTCTACATTTCAGAAATTTGTGTTCCAACACATAGAGCGCTTAACCAAACCAGCTAAAATCACAGGTGGCAGAGTCTCCAAACAGACAAGGTGACATTGCACTGATCTGACCTGCGCATGAAGGAATGCCTGTGTCCCAGTACATTAACTGCAGGCTCTCCAGAGGTAGATCATAAATTCTCAAGTGCACAGTCTAGGGCCGGGCAAACGTACATCCTGGCCAAACCAGAGACATAACCTTACAAATGCAGCATGGGTCTTTATGTGTGACTTTCAGAGTCAATGTGGCGGGGGAACGCAGAGCATGTCACATGTACGGGACGGACAGGGAAGAGAGAAGTGTCACGACTGAGAGGCACGGGCTGCGGTCTAACGTGAGCCCTGCGGGCATCAGCTACGTGCCCCAGCAGCTCCCAGCTGGCAGCCCACTGAAGCTCAGCAGGTGTGAGCCTGGCCAGTACCTGGATGGGAGACCTCCTGGGAAAGCTAAGGCTGCTGCTAGAAGAGGTGTTAGTGGGGCCAGCAGGTGGCGCTCACTCCATGGCCTGTGTGGGTCCAGTACAGTGACGGGCACAATATACTTTAAAAAGGTGCAGTCCTTCAGAAAACTGAGGTCCTGACTCTCTGTGGTCAATAAAAACCCCAGGGCATTTCTCGAAAAGAGTAGGGGTGTTACCCCTGGTGTCTTGGCCAAATTTCCCCCTGGCCTTTACCAGTCATGGCCTCCTAATAATCCCCATCTCTGAACTGGCTTCATCACTCTGCTCTCCTCCCGACAGAGCTGGTGTGTGGGGAGTGGACTGGCACACTCTGGATGCTGTCATATCATCCAGGTGGTGGAGGTGGAGGGGATCCCCATGACCTGTGAAGCTCGTTAAGTGGAGCGTCCAGAAAAGCACTACATCAGCATCAGGAACTATGAATTAATAATAATAATAATTATAATATTCTTTGCGCACCTGTGAGTCGGCTGTGGGGACGGGCAGGGGCAGGTCGGCGATGAGGCCGTAGGCGGGCGCCGCGGGCCTGGGGGTGCCGAACGCTGGGGGCAGCGCGGGGACAGAGTCCGCGCCCGGCACCCGAGGGGCGTCCTGGGGAGGGAACGCGGGCATGAAGTGAAAGCCCTGGGGAGGGTAGGGCGCCATTCCGGAGGGCTTGTTGTAGAGGCTGGAACGACGGAGAGAAACGAGGGCTGCGTTACGACAGCGGCGCACTGGGAACACCAGCACCTGCGCTGCGGGAGAATGCAGGGGCGGCTCCCAGACACCCTGCACTCCCACCAGCGAGGAACTTGGTCGCCTAGAACTGAACCCGGAACGCAAAAAAGAAACGAACATGGAAACAAAAATCATTTTGCCATAAACTCTTTGTCTTAAAGTGACAAAACTGACCATTTTAATGTGGTGCATTTTAAAAGTGCAGATATACCTGGTTTTTCATATAACTCCTTTGTGCATTCATACATGCTGATTAATATTAATGTTTTTAATCTTTGACACCTTAAAGGGAAGATGAGAACTTTTTTTATTTTTAATTTTCTGAAACACAAGACTAATTTAATCTAATTTAAGATTCACGTCAAAGATATACGATTTCGAAAGGTTATTGACAGATAAATACTTTAATTAAAGACTACAAATATTTTTAAAGATGTAAAGTCTGGATGAATTAATGCAAGTAAAGAAAGTTTTGTGAAAGAAATTACATGTGACCATTAGAGGATGTACAGCCCTATCCACAAACCGTACTGTATGTCAAGAGTCTGCAGACATGCAAGATTACAAATGAAATGTATGCTTTATTCCAGCACAGAGGGAATAAGAAAATATAAACCATAACCAAAAACATTAAAAAATAGCACCTTTTAACCAGCCAACCTGGATAAACTAGCATTTATTCTAACGCCTCCTCCAGAACAACTGCCTGAGCTTCATAGCACACCTCATGGGTAAAAATCCAACTATGAAATAAACCCAGAGCTCTTTAGTCACCATGCAAATGAGATAAGTCTAAGAAACATATAAACAAAATGCACCTCTGTAAATTATTGAAGCAATTGTTCAACTGCATGGAAACAGAGCTGGCAATAGGAAAATATTGTGAACAATATCTGGTCTCTAATAAACAACTCTGCCTGTTTTGACGTTTTTTTGTAAAGTTTATAACCTACTATTCAGCTCTTTACCTGCTTCAGTAATTTTGGAATTTTCAAGGAAAGGTTTTCCTTAAAATGTGTACTGTGCTCAGTCAGTTACAAAACAGCAACACGTTCAAAGCGCAAAGGTAAAAAAAGACTCCAGATAAAATAACACCGCACTGATGTCATCCTCAAAGAACCTTCACTCCCTATGTCACTGACAGCACAGCTAGTAACACTTTGACAGCATCATAACAGATCATAAGATTGAAAACTGTTTTTCACTTTATTACTCACAAGGGAAAACTGGCAGAACCAGATGCCAGGGCAGGCGGATTCTTCCAAAACTCATCCAAGAGGCTCTGTATGACTTTACCCAGATCTGAGTGCATTCCAAACTGAGAAAAAAAAAAACAGAAAAATAAAATCAAGCAACGTCCACTTGGAGCTGCTGTATGATCTGTTTTGCCAGGGTTGCTGAGTCCTGAGGTTTCCTTTTCACCAAATCGCTAAATTAAAATCCTGCAACCTGGCAAGTCTGAGTGTTATCAACATCAGCTGTGTGCCTCTTCCATGAAAACCGTAAATCTATTTCTAAACCTAATGGCTATGTACTGGAAAACAAAAGTAGATTATCCATTAAAAAATATATATCTTGTAGCGCCCTCGCCCTGTGGTGAGGAGGAAGCGCACCTAGGCACTCAGGGTACTGCGAAGCAGGCTGGGAGTTGTAGCCGGGGGTTAGTCTGGGGGTCAGCAAGATGACCAGCAGCTGACACTGCTTCTGTAAACAGTGTTATATTAGTTTAAGTGTCCTGTGTAGCTTAGTGAGTGTGTAGTCTTCTGTTAACGGGTTACCACCCTAAAGCTGGTCCCCATATATGTGCGTACACACTGTAGTCGATAGAGTTTTTAAAAAGAAAATAAAAGTAGTTTGTTTTTCTATCTTGTCCCCAATTATCCTTTTTACTGCGTGAACTCAAGAAGCCTACAACACATATATACTCCTCATGGCCTTAATATAACAAGCAATAGAACAGACTGATCAAAGCAGACACTCCATATTAAGCCATGCTGTAATCATGTGAAGCAGGGCTCAGGATTCACAGCAGCTCTGATATCGAAGTAATTATCGCTGTACTTACATTGGTTATGAGGGGGCTGGTTATGATTGTGCCATTTTGGCTGTCTACCAGGTGATGCCTCACACAGGGGAAAACACTGACAGTCGGCTTCTCTTGGGGAAACTGGGGTGGAAGCAAACTGCAGAGATACACATTAGCCAACGCTGACGTGGGAAAGACACACAATGACCACAGTCACAGCAAATGAGCTCTTTCTCTGAGGCAATGTTCCCACGAAACGCCATGTTCACAGCTGATATCTCAAGAAAGCTGTGCAGTTCTAGAAGAACAGTTTGCCGAAAGGTACGAACCCACCCCCCCAGACAAATCCCCTGTACAGCCACATCAGAGGTGCCCTGTGTACTTACATGTTAAGGCTGATAGTTGTGTTGTTGACTGTGAAGGGTATTCTGTATTCCACATCTTTCTGGATCTCTGCTAGGCTGTAGGGAGAATTGAATATACCTTCACGTTCAGAAGATAACCAACGGATATTTTAAATATACAGGAAGGCTATTTTAAATGTTAAAAACGGAGATAAAAAAATAACGCAGCGTGTCATGTTTAGAATTTTGAGGTCTTAACTCATTTTTATTCGGCTGTTTCTCAAGTGCCCCAACCCCTCTTCGAACATTTTTTTTTCATAATTTCACTTTCACGTGCGAAACGAAAGTCAAAAGCTGTCCACGTCAGTCCGCGGCAAATCACAATTCCTTCACCCCTCATTCACCTTTCGACCAGTTACACAGGATCCGTGTAACGACCGGCCTTTCACCATGCAATGGTCTGACTTTGAAGAAGTGCCACTTTTGAGCATTCGGCCGAGCCAGTCTACTGAGTTCAGGGAATTTCCATATTAACGTCATACTCATCCCATCGCCCAGTACCGGTAAATGTTTTTTAGCACCGTCATCAACCGCTTACTGCCCTGAGACATCAGCCGGCATGTAAAGTGCCTTTGTTTTTTAGCTTTGCCTCTTAGGGTCACAAACAGTCCAAGACTTTAATCTGGGGCCAGCAGGAAAAAGACGAGACACGTGTGGGAAAAGATGGAAGTACTTACTTGGAGTGGGCAGCTTTGAGCGACTCGATTTGCCTCTGCCTCTGCTGCTGTAAACTGTTCAGAGGTGGAAGCGGTCCAGATCCCTTGGACAAGGGGAAAATCCAGTTCATCCTCCTTTAATCGGGGCAGGAGCTGAACTCGACGGCTACTTAGTCGCTCAACAGTCGAAACTGGAGATACGGCAGGGACTGAGACGCCAAGCCCCGACAACAACAACAACAACAACAACAACAAAAAGTCAAACCGCACCGGACTTAAACGCACGTCTTGAGCTTGAACATGTCTAAACGCGAGGATGGTCGCTCAATCTACGTCGCCTGCGAAAGCATGTTTCTCAGTTTCGCACTGTCACCCCAGCGCAAAGCCCACTGAAAACCACATACGCTACAAAAAAACAAAAATTAGGAAGAACACTAGCCCCGAGCTTGCAGGCAGTGCTGCGGTTGTGTTGACTGTGCCATACGTCATCACGTGTTTTCCGCAAGGGCTGTTAAAATATTCGACAACACAGTAGAGACCGGTTTGGCGCCACCTTAAATACGCCCCTCTCTTTTTTTTTATCCGGCGTTGAAATGATTATTTCCTAAAATTAAAAAGAAATAATAAGCCTCAAAACCATTTCGACCCCTCTGCCTCCGGGTGGAAAGGTCAGGACGCGCAAGTTGATGACGTCACGGGTTCGCGTGTGGGGTTGTGATGGGAAGTTCGGAGGTGGAGGCTGTATGTCGTTTTCGGTCTTTCTTAAAATAAAACTGTTAAAAAAAGTTAGATTCCAAGCCCCGGTCCTTTCTAATCAAGGTAATTATTTATTATTGGAAAAATGTAGCTTCCATGTGACTAGATGTGACAAGAGGTAAGTTCAAGTTCAGAATAGCCAATTTGCAACTGCTAACACGAGCCCCGCATCGGGGCGAGTACAACTTATAAGGGCTTTCACAAAGCTCAGAGGAGTCTTTTAACATACATATATCACGTGTAGCTGACTCGTCCCCTTCTTTATTCTATATGTTTCTGTTATGAGCCTGCTCACGTAGAAAAGCCGTTCACGTTGTGGTAGCAGGGATCATGGCGTCATGTCAACAACACTACCAGAGACGTACAGTAGCGATGTTGAGTGTTAGCGATTGCGCGTCGTGTGAGCTTCAAGCCATGTAACTTACAGCGCACATAGACACTGGAAATAAAATTGACGACTGAACATAACTGAGAAGGTGCTTGGGTTCGTGAATTATTAGGTTGCAATAACATCGTGTCTCCATTTGAGCGATTCATTTTTGTAGCTGCAGCTGCAGTTTCTTATTTTTGGGCAGTGCGATACTCTACCCCCCCCCTCCCACCCCCACATTTATAAAAACTGACAGGCCTGTGAGTGTGATACTTAGGGGAGAACTGTTAAATACTGGGCTTATCTTATTTTTGGAGTCCTTGCCTTCTAAGTTACAGCATGGAAGAAAGCAGCACAAACCGCATCGTTCAGACACTGTTGAGTCACGGTGCAAAATACATTGACATCGTTCATGCGTCTTGAAAAGAGATGGGATTTGGAAGATGGGGACTGATGCTTACCGTTCAGCTTCAGCTATCGTCTGTGGGTAATTCAGTATTAGAGACAGCTCCAGCAGACGTGTGTTTTTTGATTGATCACTACCCAACTGATTATCATCCTTGTCGGCAACTTTACTGAATGATCAGTCCTGTGTAAGTGGACTTTTTCAACAAATCAATTCAAATAGTACATATTTATTAAACATGCTTACAAATAACTGTACCTATAGCCCTAAGTATTTTTTGCTTAATTATATTTTACTTCACCTTTGTACTTTTACATCTTTGGGTTTCAGAGATAGTCTATGCAGGCCTTGTTGATTACTCATAGCTGTTTGTGTGACATTTTCTTTTTCTAAAAACAGAAATCAAAAGAGTAGGATTTGCAGAATTCAGTGGTACCATAGACTACTGATAGGTATTATATAGACTCTGGTCATGAAGATTAACCTTGAGCCAGAGACCAATATTTGTGAGTGCATTTGTTGTCTACAATCATTAATTAAAACTTGTCAAATGAATTATACCTCAAATGTTCTTTCCGGCATTGCAGTACTCATTGCATTTGTTTGAATTTTAGGTCAAATAAAAGGAACAGGACCCAAATTTCTATGAAATTGTCCCTACCAGCAAGTTTTGTTGCGTTCGATGCCTTGCATCTAAAAGTGGCATTATGCCAGCAGCAACTGTAGACCATAGCCAAAGAATCTGTGAGGTGTGGGCTTCCAACCTGGATGAGGAGCTGAAGAGAATCCGCCAAGTGATACGCAAATATAACTACATTGCAATGGTAAGCTGATGAATATTATTGCTGTCTTCAAATTTGTCAGTCCTGCAGTGCTCATTTTCAGAAAGACAAAGCTTTTACCAGTCAGAGAGCAAGGTGGTGATCTGTGCTAGGCAGTGTTCCCAGCATTTCTCCGAAGCTCTATGGCTGGAGAGCAGTGGGGACCAGAAATGACTGTTACATAAAGTATGCATCTGTGAGGCGGTGAAAAGCAGCTAATTAAATGGTTAAAACACAATTTTAAAAAATCTTCTAATTTTCTTAAAAACTACAAGATGAGGTGAGAATAGTGTCATACATTTGTAAATATGTAAGTGGTTTCTGAAGTTTGGAGACCATATTCACAAGATAGGTGGATAACTATACATTTTACAGTATGATCGCTGTGCTGCTCCATCTGGGAAGAATGGTGTAAAGTTTAAATATCTGAGAAGATGGTGAATCCAGACACAACTCCAATAGATGGTAAAACATGCACTTAGTTAAGAATATGTAATATGTAATGGTTTTGAAAAAATGAACCATGTGTGGGGAAAAAAATTAAAATGTTTCTACAAAAGTAAATAAATGAGAAATTTCCAAGTGTTGTGATAAAACTGCACATGGCTGTATACACATGTAAGAAACAGCATAAGTAAAAACGGTTTGGTTACTCTGATAGTGAATATTTAGAGTGACATTTTTCTTGCTGATTGAAAGGAGTGAGACTCAAAGCTTCTGTACATCAATATGATGCATTTTAACAATACTTTGCAACAGGGTTTACAAATCCCCAGAGTCCAGAATCCAGCAGGTGCTCTGCGTGTCTGGAAGTTATAAACAGCCCCACACCTGGAAGGTGTGTTAAATCTAATTTAGGCTTAACTAGACCAATTTGTACCTTCTTCACAGCCTTAAACGTTTTTAAGAGATTGAAAACCCTCTGGATTCTGGACCCTGAGGAGCAGAGATGGCAAACCCTGCTTAATAGCAAGGGTATCTTTGTGTTTCATATTGTCATGGGAATATTGAGTGCAGAGTTTCCACAGAAGGCAGCATCACAATCTGATTCTGCCCTACAGTGCAGGTAAGGACTGTTTAATGTACCATGTACGAGAGGACATTGTTACTGTTGATAGACCTCTCCTATGTGTTATTGATGACTCCATCAGGCTTCACTGAGTTAAACACCAATTGAGATATTCTTTCCGGAAGAATTACAGTCCTTCTTTTTAGTCTTTTTCAAATGCTTGGAATATCCGATGGACACTACCCCCCTTGGGATTGTTCACGGTACACAGCCTGCCTGAATCTGAGACACTGTCTCGTTGGTGAAACCTTCCATTGAGTCTGTTCTGTGTTTAGTGGACACACTTTTCTAATCGGAAAGCCGTTGAAAATCACTTAAACTCATTTGCTTACATCAAATAGCTAATTTGACACTTGGTGCACAATACAGTACACAGTAGTATTCAGTGCTATTCAGACGTATGATTTGAAACATAATGTAAACCTAGCTTTTCTTCGAGTGATTTAGACAAACACAAACTAAACACTGTAAATTGTTTAAGTACTAGTTAATGCTTTGGTTATTACTTTTTAAAGTTCTGTTTAAATTAACTTGTTATTTTATGTGTTTCAAAGTATTTTTGTAAAATTATATTTTTTCTGCAAACCTTAATTTTTAAACCAGTGTTGTAATATCAGTATAGGAGACCCATAACCAGTGGAATTGTATTCCAAGTGGCCAGAGCCACGATATTTGTTAAGTTTAAATAAACCATTATGTCTGAAGTAAGAGGATTGCCTGAAGTTCCATTAATCAAAATAGATTAGAAAATTGTAGATAACACCAGAAGGCTTTGGTATAGAATTGATTTTCCTGTGCAGTCGGTCACATGAGATAAACTCTGAGAAGCAGTGTATGGTGTACTGTATTACATAAAGAATCAAAGTCTATGGGTCACACAGCAGCCAAATCTTTTAAAAAAGGGTGCAGGCAAATTGTAATTCTAGTGATTTTCTACAGCAAATATTTTCCCTTGAATCTTTTTTAATTGCACTTTAAAGCTAATTTGCTTAAAACCTTTAATAATGTGAAGATTAACAAATATTACTTTGATAGAACACAGTATAGATTGAAACAAATAAGAAGCAGATAAAACATAGAATAGATAGAAATAGGTGAGAAGCAGAGTCCTGTTTAACAGTGCATGTAGGTTTTCATTTTAGTCAGATAATTCCACGTCCGTACAGTCTTTGTGCAGTGTAGTCCATAAGTATTTGGACAGACATATAATTTTTGTTTTGGCTCTGTGCTCTAGCACATTGGATTTGAAATGAAACAATGACTATGAGGTTAAAGTGCAGAATGTCAGCTTTAATTCGAGGGTATTTCCGTCTATATTGGGTGAACCTTATAGGAATCACAGCCCTTTTTATATATAGTCCCCCCATTTCAGAGGACCAAAAGTAATTGGACACATTAACGTAATCTTAAATAAAATTGCCATGTTTAGTACTTGGTTGCAAATCCTTTGCAATTGATGACTTCCTGGAGTCTGCATCCCATAGACATCACCAGACTGACATCTTTCCTGCTGATGCTCTGCCAGGCCTGTAATTCAGCCATTTTCAGTTCCTCCTTGTTTTGGGGGCTTTATGCTTTCTTTGTCTTCAGTAAGTGAAATGCTTGCTCAGTGGGGTTCAGTTCAGGTGATTGACTTGGCCAGTCGAGAACATTCCACTTTTTGGCCCTATAAAACTCCATAGTTGCTTTGGTGTACGTTTGGGGTCATTGTCCTGCTGCAAGGTGAAGCGCCGTCCAGTGAGGTTTGAAGCATTTGGTTGGATCTGACCAGATAAGATGCTTCTCTACACTTCAGAATTCATCCTGCTGCTGCCGTCTGCAGTCACATCATCAAGAAAGACAAGTGAGCCAGGTCCACTGGCAGCCACACATGTCCAATCCAGGACACTACCTCCACCATGTTTCACAGATGAGGCGGTATGCTTTGGATCCTGAGCAGTTCCATTTTCTCTCCATACTTTTCTCTTTCCATCACTCTGGTACAGGTTCATCTTCGTCTCATCTGTCCATAAGGCTTTGTCCCAAAACTTGTGGCTTTTTTATGTACTTTTTGGCAAACTGGCCTTTCTTACGAGTGGTTTGCATCCTGTGGTGAACCCTCTGAGGTTATGCTGGTGTACTCTTTATGGTAGTCTTTGGCACGTCTATGCCTGCATCCTGGAGGGTGTTCCTGATCTGTTCAACGGTCGAAAAGGGGTTTTTCTTCACGATTGAAAGTCTTCTTCGGTCATCCACTACTGTGGTCTTCCGTGGTCTGCCAGGTTGTTTGCTATTTTTAAGCTCACCAGTGCATTCTTGCTTCTTAACAATGTACCAAACAGTTGATTTTGACACACCTAATATTTTGGCTATGTCTCTGATTGATTTATTATCATTTTTCAGCCTCATGATGGCCCGCTTTACTGGCACTGATATGTCTTTGGTCCTCATGTTGAGAGACAACAGCAACAGACTCCAGATGCAAATGCACATCTAGAATCAACACAAGACCTTTTGTTAGCTCTCTCGTGCATGAACTAACGATGCAGTGACACACAGCTGGCCAAGAAACAACTGAGCAGCCAATTATCCGATTACTTTTGGTCCCCTGAAATGGGGGGGCTATGTATAAAAAGGGCTGTGATTCCTATAAGGTTCACCCAATATAGACGTAAATACCCTCGAATTAAAGCTGACATTCTGCACTTTAACCTCATAGCCATTGTTTCATTTCAAATCCCATGTGCTGGAGTACAGAGCCAAAACAGCAAAAATTATGTCACTGTCCAAATACTGACGGACTGCACTGTACATATGTTATAGGTAAGAACGTGAATTTGGGGATTTCACAAGATCCCTGAATATATAAACAGGATTTTCACAGTTTTTGCAGTAAGATTCACAGCATCTGCCATATAAAGGGCTCCTCAGCTTGCACCCCTTTCAGTCTCATCCGTTGCAGTACTTTGGTATGAGCAGATCCTTAATTGCTGTATTGATCCTGATGATTGTCAATTTAATGATGAAACTGGTTGAAGGACAACTGTGTGGTAGATTGGAGTGGCTGCAGCTGAGAAGCCAGCATATAAAGGTTTTGAGAATAAACTGATTTATTCCTGTGACTAGAATATATATTCTATATATATTAAAATCTCAAGTATTTTGTCTCGTGGTTCCTGTATAAACACTCACAAAACTTATAATTGCTATACTTGAATGTAGAGTATTGAAAGGACAGTCATTTGACTATTAATGATGATGATGTGTAACCAGCACGCTCTTCTGTTATGTGAAGTTTCAGTCTCAAGTCAATATTGTTGTAAGGGAAAGGAAGTTACAGAAAATTAAGTGAAATCCTGAGGGGAAACTAAGAAAAATTAGAGAAGTTATGTATTAAGAGCTTTTTCTTTTTAGATTAAAAAATAAAGTTGTATTTAGAATATCTACAGGATGTTGAGCATTGAATCTTTAGTGCATAAGAAGGTACATTAATAAAACGCTTACACTGGGTGAGTCAGTAGGGGAAGGTTCCGATTTTAAAATTGGAGGGAGAACTCCTGGAGCAACCTGGAAACGGAAAGTTGGATCCATGAGGAATAAACACCAACAGGAGTATTTCCAGTGTGGGAACTACATCAAAATAAAAGTTACCCATTAGTTTAAACACTTGTATTAGGACTGCAGTTGTCTGCAATTGTATGAATGTAAGAGACAAAGCAAGTCAGTGAGTGACTTTTTCTGTAATGTTGTGTTGTTAATTCCTTGCAATGTGCTAACAGCAGCATTGTGAACTGCACTGCCAACATTAGCTGGGTTTATACTGTACGCTGTAACAGAACTACCCGTCTTTCCTGTTGGAATCGAGGTTAATGAAATGGGATCTGCTCGTTTCCTCAGAATGTGTGAACGAGCCTTACTCTTATTTCTTGCGGTAATTACTTTTTAACCAAAAGAGCAGAACGGGGTTTGGCTGAAATGTTGTGGACTGGGGAGACAGACCCCCCCATTCTTCAGAATGTGTTACACAGCAAGCTGTGACCCAGTGGCACTGCAGCACATCATTGTCGGTTTTAAGATTTCTTTTGCGTGCGAAAATAAGGTGAATGCGTCTGCACACAAGTAGCAGTGCATAAAAATGTTGTTTTTTGTCATTTTCATGAGACATGAGTTACATGGAGATGTGCTGTTTTTCATTGTTTTGTAGGACACAGAGTTTCCAGGCGTAGTGGCGAGGCCGATCGGAGAATTCAGAAGCAATGCAGACTACCAGTACCAGCTACTGCGGTGTAATGTAGATTTGTTAAAGATCATCCAGCTAGGCCTGACTTTCATGAATGAGCAAGGCGAATACCCACCAGGAACATCGACATGGCAGTTCAATTTTAAGTTTAACCTTACGTAAGCGCACAAACGTTCTTTCACCTTTGCAATGTTAGTTGTGAAGACTGCTACTTTTAAGGCTTAATAGTTCTGTTTTTTTCAGTTAATATGATTATTCAAACTGGTGGTACAATTTTGTGTTTTTCTTTTGCTTGTTTATTTATTTATTTTTGGTGGGGAGAGAGGTTGAATAGTTACCTGGATTCACTGTTACAGATTAAATCTGGCTAAAATCCTGATTTTGGGCCACTTTGAAGGATGATGTATGGAAATGCTGTTAGTTGTTCCTTTGTAATTACAACTGTAACAGGTATTTAACACGTTTAAATTATTTTGGCTAGCCCAGAGTTTTTACTGTATCAACTGGGGCACAAGTGCTAGGAGAAAAGGAAGTGCATGGGTTGAGAAATCTCAACGTTTTATTACTTTTTATGTTCTTCCAGATAGTGTGTCTGATTCACCAGAGCTCTTTGAGCTTATTAACCTATTCTTTATTGATATTAGAGATTTATTGTTATAACTAGGAGGTCTATTGAAGCCACTTCAAATCACATTTATGGTTTTGTGAAAAGATGCTGCACATACAGCAATATCACAAGTCTTTCTGATTGAAACCCTTTGTGAATAATTGTTTCATTAAGGGGAATTTATGCCCACTCAGATGAGGATAGCGAACTCTCAGAGGTTAGAAATGTATTTATATTACTTATGAATTGTACTTTTGGATTAATGAATGAGTCTATCCTATATGTGAGAGCTGAATATTTCATTTCAAGTGGGCACATAACATTAGGCATATTCTGTATAGTTGTTGAGTTCTGAGTTAATTCTTTTTTTTTTTTTGAGAACTAGCAAGTTCCAGTTTGTGCCTTAATGATCTTAATACTGAAAGTCGCTTCAGCAACTCAAAATGGCTGATGCAATTTTGTGTGTTCGTCAGCAGTTTAGGAATTAATGAATAGTATAATTTCACTGAAAGGTGTAGTAATAGGTTCAGGTGTTTCCCCAGATGGGATATCATTTGCCTGTATAGTTATGATATATGAGTATAATTGTTCGAAATGTGTTCAAATAATTCAGCTTTTTTAAGACAGCCTTCAATGAAATGCTTGTGTTCTGTGGGTAATACACAGATTAGTATGTTGTGGTGAGGGATATGTTAAGAAGGCATTTTTAAAAGAGGAAAAAAAACTGCATTTCTTTTTCTAGATTTTTTAATATTCGTCTCAATTTCTTTTTTTAGTTTGAGATGCCCAGTTCCAGCTTATTCCCATTATCCTTTGCGCCCGTAAGAGACTAAAAGCAGGTTGGGGTCTTCTGATGTAAGAACTTAGCCAGGTAATCTCATTGGTGGGAGTTACTGATATTGTTTCTCCCTAGTCGTGTATATATGCACCTCAGCCGGGCTGCGATCTCAGTCCTTTGGGAAATCGGTGGAAACAGATTGATACAGTTTATTTACCACACATTGTTCCTCTCATCTCATCCTCAACTGAAGGCTGTCCCACCATCAGGAGGGTAGGGACAGTTTGTAATCCTAAACCCAGTGGCTTAGTCTTCTCAGACTGTTCTAGCTGTTCCAGTTGTCCTTTACAACCTCGTATTTTAGCCAGCAAGTCTATTTCATAGCTGACGAGTCCAGTCAGTCCAAGTAGGTGTCCCCCTTAGATTTCAAATCACAGCATTTATTAAAGCAAAAGCAAACACTGGCACCCACCTTTGAGTGTTCCTTGGCAGAGTTTTTAAAAATGAGCTAGTGGAAATAAAGTTTTAACTAAACCACGAGGAAGTGAAATTGACCAGTGAGTCTCGTATCCAGTGCCAGAGGTCAGTGTGAGTCTGAGGAGTCCTCACCAGGTGGTTGACCCTCTTCATTCTGAATCAGTGTGAATGCAGTGTTGTCTCCTGAGTACTGCTTCATGTATTACTTGTACTGGTAGTGACCTGGGTCTTGTGTACTTGCCTTTTAAGAATTTCATGCTTAATGCGTAAAACTGTATCCTCCTCAACGTTGTGTATCTCGAGACAGGTAGTTCAGGGTCGGTGTTTCTCCCACACAGAGACGCTTCTGCCTTGGGATGCTGTATTTACGTTACAATTAGGTCAAAGTGGCAAAAGTTGTACTTGCTCATGACTGTGAGCTTGAAACATTTAAACCTGATCTCCTGATGCAGAAATACAAATACTGATGATTGTAAGTTTGTAGCTCTGTCCTTGTAAGGTTTGTGAAGGAGAGGTTTGCAGTGAATATATTTTATATTAAATACCTTGCTTTGTATCATCTTTACTGAAGTAACTTCCTTTTCTCCTAGTATTCAGAGCTGTACTTTATTTTGTCTTCTAATTATTATTAACCACGAGTCTTGTAAAGTCAACTGTATAGTAGCCTGTAGCCTGAACTGAAAAGCAGCCATTCTCTTTATAGGCAGACAGAAGACCGCTTTCTTACCCTGTTGTCCTTTACAGTGTGCCAAAATCAGGATAGTGAGCAATTAGAAGTTTAAAGACTTAAGGTTTAGTTACACCTCTGTCATTTTGTAATTTTACAGAAGCTTAGTGATATCAGACTTAGAAAATGATCACTAAAAGAACTTAACATCTCTGAAAGGCTTAGTGTGAGAACCTGTGTAATTTCTAAAATGTGTGCGTTGTAACAGTCTCAATTGTCCACGCTTTGTTTTTCCTCTGCTAGGGAAGACATGTATGCGCAGGACTCCATAGAACTGTTAACAACATCAGGTATCCAGTTTAAAAAGCATGAAGATGAGGGGATTGAAACGCTGTATTTTGCAGAACTGCTTATGACCTCTGGAGTTGTGTTGTGTGAAGGAGTGAAATGGCTTTCTTTCCACAGGTAAGTTTGTGTAGTGTACTGCTGCACACAGGTTATAGATATTCGTGTTTAACTGAGCTGGGGAACAGAGGCTGTAACAGAACCAGCTTCCAAGTCACTGCAATGTCAGGTCAGCTTAATTGACAGGGCACTCCAGCGTTCTTAAGCTTTAAATTGCTGAAGTTTTTTTTCATTTTTTAACGTTTTTTGTACAGGTCTTTCAGTGCCTTTCTTCTTCATGGCTACAGAGCCCATTATAACTGGAACAGGACAAGAGCGTTTGATCCTGGTCTTATCTAATAAGGCGTCTGACTTGATGTTAAAGCCTCCAAGCATCACGTGTTCTGCAACTGTCAGTTCTAAATTGTGTATTTTTCCACGTTTCTGTACGGGACCTTAAACTGGCATGAGTCTTTCTTTCTTTACAGATTGTGAAAAGAAAGTATTGGTCAAAAATGGGTCAGGATCCAAAAAAGATAGCAATTGACATATGATCGATTTCCATTGTTGCAGGTCTTCTGACCGTTTTGTACTGAAGAATAGTCTGCAAATGCAGTACAATCTGATTACCAAACCTTTGCTACTCAGTTTATGATTCTGGACCTCAACGATCTATCTCATTAAAATGTTTTGTAAGATCAGACTGAACATCGATGGTCTGTATCATGAATGGAGGCTGGTTTTCTTTTTATGATTTATTTACGTGACAATTATTTTTTTCTACGATGCCACAAAAGGAAGATATTTTATATTACTGTGCATTAAGTTTTAGTCCTAATTTATTTTTTATGTCTCCTGACTTTTATGAATTATTTCTTATTTTTTGTTATTTGCAGTGGCTATGACTTTGGATACCTTATCAAAATTTTATCCAATGCCAACCTGCCAGAAGAAGAAGTGGACTTCTTTGAGATTCTCCGTTTGTTTTTTCCAATCATTTATGATGTTAAGTACCTCATGAAGAGCTGCAAAAATCTGAAGGTGATTTTTTAGATTTTTCTAAGCAAATGTTTTAGTCTATGGGTGCATTTCTACCCTTCCACAGTGCACATCCTTAACTGCTAACCTCAGTGCCTCAGACATGATGCACTAATGCACTTTCTGCATGGTTTGCCATGTTTTTCTTTCAGTGCTATATATTAATTGTTCCGGTTGTTATTATTTATTGTGCTTGTAATGTAGCGTCTACATTGAGTGGTGTTGTCTGTTGTACTGCGTATGGCACACGAGATCGGCGCGAATAAGCATTCCAGTGTACATATACATTTGCAATAAAATCCTCTACTCTATGGTGCTCTGCACTTGGAGGGCCCAGAGGATTTCTGGGTTTTGCGTATGTTAAGGCGGGTACAGGGAGCAAACCTCCCGTATATTACAGCTTGCAGTTCAGGGTCTGTCCGGTCGGTGTTGCGCTGCCAGGTGTTGGATTTACGTAGAAGGAGGTAGTTACTCGGATGTTTGGTTTCAACATCAAAGATATTATTTCCCTGTATCCATTGTAAGATCGTGAAGCTCCGGCTTGGTCTCCTCCACGTCATGTTCACATTTCTTGGGGAACATTGTCTGGGGTGATGCTGCAGTGTCACACCACCATCCGCTGCTTCCTGTTTCTGGAGTGCTGCTTTGTGTTGTTTAGCAATCCTTAGCGACTCCTCTGGGTGTGGTTGGTCTGGCCCCGATGAAAAAGAGTTAATACCAGCTGTCGTCATTTAGCTCATTTATTCGGTTGATTCCAGTTTCCAGATTTCTTTATTTGCCATGTACAACAAGTGTATTGGAATGTCCACTCGTTCAGCTTTACCCAGTAGCGTTCTTCTAGTATTCTTTCTTTTCTCTAATATTCTTTTAACCGGTGCAGTCTACGTTTGTACCCTTGTGTACAGCCCGACAGTATCTTCTGCTAGGTCCGCTCAGGCTTCACTATGACACGATGAAGGGGATCATGCCCAAAATGACCATGATACCACAGTCCCGTATTTTCTGGAAGCGGCTTTGTGATGACCGCTTGAAGTGTGTCCTGCCAACAAAGCCATGCAGCGTTCGCGCTTTTGTCGTTTTCTTGAATGACTGATTTTGGCCAGTTACCACACAGAGATGTCAGAGGGGGGCGGTGGGAGAAAGGGAATGCCATCAGAGGAGGACGCAGATTTAAAAGGTTTTACCACAGAGTAGGCGCACACAGTAATTACAGCCAGTTCAGATAATGAGAAAAGATCCGCACAGGATACATTTATATTTCCTCATTTGGGTATTGCATTCACTGCCCCTGGTGGATTCAGCCTGGTGTGGTTACAGTCTCCTGGTCTCTTGGACTCTCGCAGGGAGGCCTGCAGGAAGTAGCTGAACAGCTGGAGCTGGAAAGAATCGGTCCCCAGCACCAGGCTGGTTCGGACTCCCTGCTGACGGGCATGGCCTTCTTCAAAATGCGAGAGGTGAGGGGGAAAAACAGGTCGCGTCTTCTGGTCTCTTCGGCCGTCACGAAAGTTCAGTTGGAGTGCAGGAAAGTGTGCGTGCGTGCTTGCAAAAGCAGGTTCACGCGTCTGCGTGTTAGCAGCCGGAGCTGTTATTGCTATTAACACACCGAGTGAGAGTAGATGGGCTGAAGTCCCCTGCTGGCGTGAGGTTCGGGAAACAAAGCCATTCGGCTTGATAGTGCAGCTGGATCAGAAGAGGTTTTCTTTTCGGTGGCTCTTAATCTGGGGTTTTCCCGAACTTCTGTCCTAGATGGTCTGATTCAGTCGATAAATCCCAGACACATAGCTCGTACACCCACTCCACCATCACATCTCAGACAGACGGATGTACCAGGAGCCCAGCAGGGTAAATTCCTCATTGACTAAACTGAGACTAAGGGCCTGTATTTTTGCACCTTAGTCCCATATTTAAAACTTTAAAACAGTTTTATAGGTCTCATTTTTTTCACCCTCCTTTCCCACCACACACCTCCCCCCTACCAGCTCTGAAAAGAGTCTCTTTCTTCGCCGTTCCAGATGTTCTTTGAGGATCACATCGACGACGCCAAGTACTGCGGCCACTTGTACGGCCTCGGCTCGGGCTCCTCCTACGTTCAGAACGGCACGGGCAACGCCTACGAGGAAGAGGCCAACAAACAGCAGCCGTGACGCGCCTGCGTCTCGCTCCAGCTCCAGAGCCGCGCGGGACGGTTCCTGGATTTTACACACCCGAGGGGTTCGAACAAGGCCTTCATTCTGTCGCTTGGTGTTCTTTCTTCTGTCAATGTGTGCGATCCTCGAGTCCGCTGGCTTGTGGGGAAATTCAAGAGCTGGCAGCGGAGGAGAGGTTGGTGGTCTTCGGCGCAGCTCTCGTGAGAGACTGTGACGTATTGTCGGGGAAAGGCTTCCTGCAGTGATGGCAACCTCAGAAATTCTTCATTTCAGAAATCTATACCGTAGTAATTTGCACTTTAGAAATTGCTCCAGATGACTAATTTTATATATGTATAAAAATAACAGACATTGGTTATTTCATCCTTGTATAACGAAAATTTAATACAAGGATCTATAGTTTGCCCTGCATTCCACATTAAAACATGTTTGTTAATGTGGAGTAAATGGAGATGTCCTTGAGTTACATTTCCCACTTTCATTTTTTATTTTAAGGTTAAAAAAAAACTCTCAAAGCTGTTTCTTACACAATTCAGCCTTAATACAAAGCTGCATTTTAAATGTCTTTTTTTTTTTTACTTTTTGTGCTATTACATCAGGGTGTTGATTGTTTACCAGCTTCAACACCAAAGATGCCAGCAGTCACTTGGACACTCACTCTTTCTCTTTTAATAAGTAACTTATGAGTGTGGTTCATTTTTGGCACAGTCCATCGTTCAGAGACACGCGCACAAAGACACCGCTGCATATCATCGATGAGGTCAGTCTCACTGATTTTACCCCACACGTTAAGTTGGCACCAGTTTTACTGTTTGAACTCAATTCGGTCACGATGTAAGCTTGTCACAGATAAAATTATAATTGGGCGGCTGTGAAATTCTGTATCATCTGAATTTCTTTCCGTTTTTAAAAAATGTGACATGTAGGTTTGGTAGTGTTTTACTAAAAAAAAAAGCTGATACTTTTACTTGTTAAGGAAACAGTGCTTCTTATCGCAAATCTTAACCAACTCACGCATACCGTTTCCTCGGGATTATTGTTCACCTTTAATGCTGGTTAACCGAAGCACAGAGGTTTGTGCTGTTTTTCTCCCAGTATGGCTTTGCAATATATCTATGTTGCTTAGAAATGCTGATGTGTATCAACAGCATTTGTACAGTCGCTGATAATAGGCTGTTGTTTCATAGTAGCTTAAGGTTGCCTGAAGATGTGAATTGCATGAGTACACTTCATGAATATCCAGAAAAAGTTCATACTGATATGGAGGACCTTGGAAACCATGAGAAATAACATTATTTTTGCTTCTTTTTTTTTTTGTTACTGCCGTGTAAATGATCCCTTTTAAAGAGGAGAAAAACAAATTATGCAAGATAAAAGGGTGTTTGTTTTTAAGGCTTTTGTAAATAAAGGCTTCTGAATTTTCTTACATATGGGAAATGTTTTTTAAGTAGCTTTCCATTGCTTGTATGCTTTTTTACACCTGGAAAGGTCTTAGATTAAAAGACGCGAGGATGTTCATTTCCGCTTTAAGCATCTAGTTTGGGAAATGTTAACCTAGTGCACTTCATTTATGCTCAGATTCCTAAAGATTCATCCGTCATAAAAAAATCTAAATCGTACAGTAATACACATAAAACAGGCATTTCAGTTCTGGGAAGGGGTCCAGATTGTGACCACCAGCATGGCAGTGTGGAGCAGCCTTGAGGATTCTGATCTGGTAACTGGAAGCTTGTGCGTTCAAATCCCAGGTGAGACATTACTTACTGTTGCACCCTTGAGCGAGGTACCTCAACTGAGTTGTTCTATTAAAATACCCCCCCGTATACAAATTAAGCAAGTAAAATAAAAGGGCCAACAAAAAAAAAGAAGCCGAACCGGGGCCCCGGGGCCCAAGAACCGCCCCCGGGAACGGAAAGGTGCCCGGTCAAAACCCCCCGCCGGCAAAAGAAACCCAACCCCGTGGGCCCCTGAGCAAGGCCCTTAATCCCAACTGCTCCAGGGGCGCCGTACAATGGCAGACCCTGCGCTCTGACCCCAAGCTTCTCTCCCTGTCTGTGTGTCTGTGTCTCCTTGGAGAAAAAAAAAGCTGGGGTATGCAAAAAGACGAATTCCTAATGCAAGAAATTGTATAGGGCTAATAAAGAAACATTATTATTATTATAACACATGGATGGACTCAAGTGCTTTAGACACAAAGCAGCTTATTGAGTCCCTCTCCTGCTCACTGTAGTGTTGAGTGCTGCACTGACACCTGAAGACGTTGGCACAGTAAAGCATATGATGTGCAAGTGTCAATTTCAGATCTCAGTGTGACTTCTCAGTGTTGTCACCAGCTAGCAGTGTGAGCTTTTGGCATGACAGCTCCCCCGTGTTCTTGCTCAGAGGTCTGGTGTTGCAGCTGAAGAGTACTGAGCATGCGTGGAACACAGTCCTTCTTAACCCCACCCCCTCCAAAATTATAACAAGGGAAATAGCATTGTTGCCTTGCGGCGCCGGGGCCCTGGGTTCAATTCTGGATGAAGGAGAGTACAGCGTATGTTAATGTTTCTGCACGTGTTTTCAAGCCATTATCTTTTTAAAGTACAAATAGACCTGTTTTTAAAAATAAAACATGAATGCAGAACTTTATTTCTCAAGGCATACACATCTTACACTGCCTTCACATTTCATTAAAATAAGCATTTTCCATTTCACCAGCAAATCAAATATAAAAATAGGTCATTTAGACATAATGCATCTATTTTATCAGTGCTAGAAGCATACAGAATTAACCATGGGACTTTTTTCTCAAAAGCTATGATGTAGCACACTGCAACTTGAACACAATACCCTCTACCATCACCATTTTTGTATCGTAAAAGGTTATATCCTACCTCACTGACATACAATCTTTTGGGCGGGGAAAAGGTTAAAATCCCACACTCCGCAGTGCAGTTTTATCTCACTTTTTTTAAAGTGCCAAATGTTTCAAGTGTTTTCATTCCCCACCCCCACACTTCTAGCCCCCGTCTGATGAAGGGTTTCTAACACACTCGGCAATGCACGGAGGAGATGAAGAAATTATAATCCAGCAGGTTCACTATAGGACCATCGGAAAGGTTACAAACAAGTGGGACCTTTCCAGCCCTCCTGCTTGGGTCCTAGCAGCTGGTCTGATCTTATCCAGCTCCCACAGCTGCTCTGTTCTCGATTCTGCCTGCTGCTCCCCTGGCTTGAGCACAGGTCCTGTTTCCCCCCAGCAGCACGGCTTGTTCCTGCTGGGTTAGCGAACGCCGTCCAGCAAAATCTGTTGTCCTCCTGTCGGCTGTGGAAGTGAGCTTGTCAAGCGTGGAGTTCAACCTCCTCTGGCTGCTGTGGGAGTGTGTGGCTGGAGGCAGAACTCGGGTGGCCTTTAGAAGAATACCGGTCTTTAGTTTTGATTTGCCAATCTGGGTCTTAACACCCCAGGCGTAAAATAGGGAGCTTGAGGCATTGATTTTGACACTGTGCAGGATCACTAAATGAGCCCTGGTGACACCGGCATGCACACTTCACAGGAGCAGTATACCCTAGGAAAACTAGAAAGAGCAAACAGCCTTCTGGTTTTAACATTTACTGGACAACAGGAGGTGACAGAAGACACTACTGGAGGAAAACAAGACCATCAAGAGAAATACTGTCATTAGACTCCCAGGTGTTATAACACATGGAGAAAACAGACAGACAGGATGTTCAATGAACAAAGAATACTGCTGTGGAGGCACCACAGTGCTCAGCTTATTGGATAAGACCGTTGAGTACAATTAAGGAACAAATACATTAGATTAAATTAAAAAACTGTAGGCACATAATAGAATGTGTAACTCCATTTTGATCATCAGCATGCAAATTCTGGAGTGCAGAGATATTTGCGTCTTTGGCCTGATAGGCTGGATAGGGCAGACACAAGCCGAGATGCCACCAATCTGTCTCTGATGTGGTGTTTTTATGTTCCGCCCACTTCCTGGTGTTTTATTTTAATATTTTGTTTTCAGTTTTGGAGTTCTGTCTTTCAGCAGGATATGCTCACCCCAAACTTCACATCATCGCGGGCCAAAGACACTACCTGGGCTCTTGGCTTTACCTGCGTGACTCAAACTAAGAAGGATGCAAGAGTCTCCTGGGTTTGCCTCCTCAGCCCCTACCATGTCCTCAGCCTGCAAGATCTTTCTAACCCTGCCTAAAAGTTAAGCACAGTCACACAGAAGAGTGCATACTTTCCTCATACACAGCAGTTCATGCGGTTATATTTCTAATATCTTATGTTAATTTGCATATTTAATATATTTTCAATCATACTCAAAAGTGCCATAAAAAGTGCAATAACCATTAGAGTTATTAGTTATCCATGTCCCATACGAAAAATAAATATATTTTCTATGCACTAATTTAGCATGCATTATAGCTCAGTTTATATACGGTTTTGTTTTTTTGTAAGCTGAATTTCCATTGTTACTGCACATACAAGACTAACACTATATAGACAAAACCAGACAGTACAAATAAAAACACTTGAACACTGTACAGTTTACCCTCCAAACATTATGTATTGTTGATACATTGATCATGTAAATTCATGGAAAAAAGCTTTCAGTAAGTGAGCAGACACTCTGACGTGGGATAGGTGTGTCACGTTACGTGGAAACAAAAATGTCATTTCCTTAACACTTCATGTGAACCAGGCTCTCAGAACCAGATAGGGCAATAACTGTTCATAACGTTTTTTTTACTTCCTTCGCACTTTAATTTGATTGTTGTTTCATTGTGTCACATTTAATTGAAGCACATTGTCATATAAAATTGTAAGCTAAAAGGGGAAAATTTAATATGCCTTTTTTCTGTTAAAATTTATGAAAATATATATTCCAACACATATAAAATCTATAAAAATAAGTGGAACATATATTGATTAAAATATATTTTTTTTCCGTATGGGGTCACTCCATGCTGCAGTTCCAGGTTTCAGTATTGAAATCATCTATGAAGAATTCCTTTGGCAAGAAAATATATGTACCATGGAACGTACACAAAGGCTGCGCATGAATGATGGCAATCAGTTACAACAAGCTTCTTACACATCCATTTGCAAAATGCCGACGATGGTTATATGATTATACAATTTACTGTGCTTTTTTCCACAAAGATTTGTTTTTAAATACTGTAAATAACTGGAATGCTACTTTGTTTCCAGACAACCTTAAATTCCATCATTCTGCTGGGCCGAACACAACTGACTCCTTCTTACCTACAAAAGCCCTGACTCCCGCAGGTTTCTCCTCAACCCAATTCCTCCAGAACCACCCACCCCCGCCCCCAGTATGTTCCTGAAAGTACAGTATGAATGTCGTATTGAGCAGTGACACGAAATCAGCCGAATGAATGCCAGATGTCCACACAGTTACACAGGCACAGGAGGGTCAGTGGGCAGGTAAGCACCTCTCCGGGCCAAGTCAGACTTCCAGCACCGTCTTCAATATCGGCCGGACCTGTTCGACATCAACCAGAGGAGACAACCAAACACAGCTTCAGTGATCGACCTCTCGCTGAGGTGTCTTCTGTCCAGAAGAAAAGCCGTCTAAACAATGTTGCTTGGTCTGGCCACATTGAGCAAAGAAAACATTTCGTGTAGTATCGGAATGGTTTAATTTTTTCCTGATTAAAAAAAAAGATTTGCATATCCGTTTTATGTTTTTAAATTAGTTTGCCTCCAGCTTTATTTATTTAATTTCCATCCTTGGATTTTATTCATTACATTTGAATACTAATATAATCAATAAAAAATAAATTGGTCTGTAAAAAGAGGACATTCTGTAATGATTAATTGTGCTACAACAAACTAGATTCTAATCCTAAATACACTTTGTCATATTTACTCATTTAAAACACACAAAGTGAAAACACATTGTATGTCAAGCAACACCTTTCATACAAATCCTGAACACATGAAAGAACGTTTTCTATGTGGTGCCTGTATTATAGTTGTATTTCACATTTGAATACAGGGTGCTCTATCGGGCATATTTAAAATTTAAATTGATATTCCCAACAAGTGAAAGCGAAATGTATCTCTAACCAATGTTAGACTGGTAAAATCATAGACCCTTTTGTAATACAAAAGTGCCATTCTCGTTCTTCTTTGTTTTGCTTTTTAAATAGGATTGGTATAAGATGGGGGTGGAGCGGTGGCTCTGTGGCTCAGGATCTGCGCCTGTGGCTGGAAGGTTGCCGGTTCAAATCCTGCAGCCGGCAGAGGAATCCTACTCCAGTAGGCCCCTGAGCAAGGCCCTTCACCCCAACTGCTCCAGGGGCGCTGTACAATGGCTGACCCTGTGCTCTGACCCCGAGCTTCTCTCCCTGTCTCATGGAGAGCAAGCTGGGGTATGCGAAAAGACAAATTCCTAATGCAAGAAATTGTCTGTGGCTATTAAAGTGATCTTACCTTATCTTAAGAAGAAAATCTTGCTTTGATATACACAGGAATTGTAATTATTTTAAAATGTATTGTTTAAATTTGTAAAAAGATGAATTATTGAACATAAGTACTATAAATAAAATCTAGTTATATTAGCTATGGCAATATGATTCAGCCGGTTTAATGTTACTTTCACCACCTCTAATCTAGAGTCCAGTCCAGAAAAAAACATCAATAAATCGGGACAAGATGATTTAATGTTAGAGCACAGCTCACAGTTTGTCAAGTTTCTTCAGATGCTCTCTTCATTTCAATATTGTTTTATTTCCACCACACAGCCTGTCATTAATTTGTCTTAATTAATTAATGTCAACATTACTTAACATGAATTAGTGTCAGCCAGCTCAGTGTGCTGGGAGCACATGCAGTTAGCCCCATCTCATGCAACCTGTCTTTTTACCAAGCCCTTGCTGGGATTCTGTTCCATGAGGATTGTGTTAGAATATCTCCCAGCTAAGCCAACCCTTCAACGTGATGGTGCCGGATTTGTGTATTACACTCTGATGATTCAGTCTCTAATGGGAGGGTGATAGTGACTACATGACTACTCAAGATGAGGTGGACACCAGATTAGCAAAAGCATCTTGGATTATATCACATTTTAAACAAATCGATATAAAACAGGAACAAAGTATGCACCTACAACAAAGAAGCTATTCGAACCAATTAAAAAAAGAACAAAACAGATAAAGGGTCAACGATTTCATAATAAACAGTGATGCTGCTTACCTTCATTTCCATGTAAATGAAAATTCATCCTAGGTTTCATTTTCTATGGTCATCGCTGGGTTGCTCATGCCTGGATAAGACAAAAAGTAAGACATCTACAGTATGAACCCATAATGGTTTTGGGGAGTGAAGAGACAGCATGCATGGATAGACACAGAGAGAATTTGTTCAGTTTCTACAACCTGCCATGCAGAAACGAGCTGATGTACTGTAACAAATATATATATGATTAAATATTGTAAAAACATCAAATGTTTGCTTTAACTTCTCATGATACTTGAAATAAAAAGGGGAATTATTGATTGTTTTCTTACATGTGGAAAAAGGCAGTCTGATGCTTTCAGAAGATTAAAAAGAAAAAACACCTAGAATTTTAGTAGACCTCGACTACGTACTCTCTGGCTATTTTTTCTTTTACGTCAATGTTTAAGCTAAAGTTGAATTTCATATTGCTGAAACTAGAACTGTATCTGTCTTAATAATATAATAAATCAAGTGAGATCTTTTGAAGTGAAGCAGTTTACCTAAGGGAGGAATCTATTAGCCTAATCCCAGTTCTGTTGTTTCTGAATTAGATTGTTTAGGTCCACCATTTATAGTTTCTAAGGCTTTACAATATCCAGCATTTTTTTATTTATGCTCTGGTTGTTAACCACAGCAATACTTCCAGCAGCGGAATAATGAAAAACACAAAAGTAGTTACAGATTTCCACATGTATTTCAAGGAGATTTTAGCTAATACAACTGATAAGCTCTGGCAGCGTTCATGACTCAGCACCTCCTGTCCTACATGGCTATGCACGGTCATATCCCGTCTGGAATACAGGAACAGGTGAAATAGAACTAACAGCTGCATGAACCACTGAAAAATGGGCAAATCCATGAATTATAGATCTTCCTAAAGTACTTGTTGTTTGTATTCATGAGCATTTTCAGGAATACTTTTTGGAGGGGAGTGTAAAGCTACAATATACAGTAACAACAAAAAAAAAATACATGTTTCAATCTTCTCCCATTGCTTGAATGAGGCTAAAACACTAAACTCTTTTATAAACACTATACAAGTGAGTAAGAGGCATAAAATATAATTAGCTAAATATAATTCCACCGAAATATACAGCACCAGAGCAATTGCTATTTAGCTGCATCTGCAGAATGCCTTGTCAGCTCTTAAGTGGTGTCCTTCATCATTTTCACCTGACTTCTCTCTACGTGTTGTGCTCAGACTCTTCTAAGAGTTCCTATCTTAGCTTTCTGCTGAAATCGTTATGAACTCCTACAAATAATCTTGTGCCTGTAATGTCGTTTAAGTGGTTGAAAGGGTTGAAGCACATTGCTTTATCACGTCGTGTAGTGTTTATGGAGAACTTATGACAGTACTCTGTGTTACCAGATTTTGGGCTGTTCTACAGTAAGTGCCAAATGATGCATTAAGTTGTGGCTCAACCATCTGTTTTCAGAACTTGTTATTATAACTGTTTACAAAAACCAAAGTTCAGCAAGTTTAGCAATGCTCCCTTACACAAGTGAAAATCTCATTTTAATGCCTCTGTTTCTTGTAACTTTAGAGCACTGTCGGAATAGAACGTGTTATAAAACACAGCATTCTAGAGCCCTGCCAGCTGGGAGAGGCTGGTACTGTGGCACAGTGCAACAGCAGGCCGCTGGACACATGCTGAGACAGTGCTAGCAGGTGACACAATGAGGTCATGTTTCCTTGACTTCAGTCTCGCTGCGATTGAATTCAACTCCCACCACAAAGTAAACTCCTCACCTGCAGTTGCACATCTTGTTTGTTTGCCTTCGGTTAGGTCCTAACCGCCCCTTTAAAGCATAGTCCCACTACTGTGTGTCTCTTACCAAGTTTGTCCTTGTCATCGCCGCCCTCACTCTCGGTCCAGGACTGGCCAGCATTGAGCAGGCGGCTCTGGGATTCTCTCAAAGTCTTGGCAGGGAACTGGTGAGTTTCCCCGGCACTGCAAACCACACAGCAACATATACTGTACATATACCTTATACAGCATCCAGCTTTTGTTTCTTAAATTGCATAACTTAGGAGGACAAAAAACTCTCTCAGGAGTCTCTCCTGTAAGATTAATTTTACCTTTGAAAAAAGCTTAATGAAATATTGCACCCCTCAAAAGATAGAATTATAACTGCATAAAAGAAATATACAGTAATAAAGTCTTCACTGACAAACCTACACCAATAAATTAACTCTGAATCACCTCCTAATTATTAATCAAAACTTACCATTTGGCAAAAATAACCACTTCCTAACAGAACCTGTTAACAAACCCCTTTCCTAACTACCTTGTGCCATGAATAATTATTGCAATTTAAACAGTAAATCAGTTTTATGTTTCATCCTTATGATAAATGTCAGTTGTTGATGGCAGTTGCTATGATTAACATTGCACCTTGAACCATGAAGCAGTCAGGGCTCGAACACAAAGACTCACTGCAACTCGCACCACGAGTCAGTCAGGGCTCGAACACAAAG